AAGTGCACAACGGGTTTGGGGTGCGACACGGCCCAGGAATGAAACTGTTTGGGCACGGGCCTGCTCTTGGCTCTAGTTTGGACAGTTGAAAAGAATGCTCTGAAACAAGGATGCTGTGGAAGCATGGTTTTTCTATGTTTTTCTGGGTTGTCATGTTTTGGCAGGACACCTCGGACCTTGCATGCAGTCTGTGCGGGTGCCCACGTCAACATGTGCGAGCCTTCCGTATTGTTTCTTGAGGTGAGAAGCGCTGCAACGAAATGGCGGCATCTAAGTGGTCCCAAGATTTATATATGTCCTGAATCCGAATCGACCAGCGCCCTCAACGCTCTCCCATGAAAAACTCGGCTGCTATGAGCCCAAGCCAGGATGCATTCTGACTCTTCCGCGATGTCACAGCCGAGAACAATGTAACAACTCAAACTGAATTTCACATTGCTTCCTAGGAACAGCTCGAGTTGCCATCGCCAGCCTCGATGGACGCGGTGCTAGGTTTCGGGCTTCACCAGCAGGCTTACATGTCTAAATCTAACATTTAGGTCCAGGTATGGCATTCGAAGGAACAGCCCAGCCTGGTCAATGAAACCAGCCTCACAGCCGCAGTCCGCAGAAGAGATTGAGCCCAGCCCCAAGGTGGTGCTGCCATCCGGGCAAACGACGCAAGATGGCGAGCCAGCCCTATCCTGGTAGGAGCCTTAGGGCATGTGCCAAGGATAGTCTCGAGTCACTACGGGACAGGCCAGACATGTGTTATCACTTGTTGCAATGTTGCTTATTTCCATTTGAAGCAGCCGATGTCGCAGCGATCGCAGGCTTTGCTGCCGGTGTTGGCCTGAAATTCACCTGAGAGACTGTTTTTCTTCATGGCGGCACGCGCAATGGTTCAGGTTGAACATGAGCTAAAGAATGCCACACACGAACCCTCTGCACATTGTGCTCCGCAAAGTTCCTTTCCGTGAAGGTCTTCTCAGTGAGTACCAGGTGCTGCTTTTCTGTTTTCTGTGTGTTGGAAGTATCTTTGGGCGAGCCTTTCATCAGGAAGGTGCCTGGGTTGCACTTGTCACACTGCAAGGCTGCGCCAGATGGTTGGCTCGTTCCAGGTTCGCACCGCCGACACTCGTATGTGATACCTTAGGAAGGTGTGAGCGAGGAACAAATCTCAAAAGGTTCGCCTGCCACGCAAAACTTGGCATACTTCGGACTTAGGTGCCATTGGTATCGTCCAACCGCGATGAAAACCTGCCTGACTCGCAGGCACGGCATTCCAGGAATGTGGGAGCGTCCCTGTTGTTCACGAACTCCGACCGGTTCGTGTCATACCTGGTCTTGGAGACAAAAACTTAAATGAAGAGCAACTAATGTTCCACTATGTTCCACTCAACCCAAACTCCGCAAACCATGTGGGCCAAGGGGCAAGCCGAACCCTGGGAAACACTTCGTCATGTCCGGCAACCAAGACTGCCAAGAATTGGGATTTACCAAAAGCCAGCGGCATGCAGCCTCAGGGCTACAGTGCGGCTACAGTCAAGAGAGCCTTGGACTCGGAACCGCTTAGGTCCGTTTAGGTTTGGGCCATCTGCATCAGATATTATGAACGGTCATGTTCGGAGTACATTCTGGAGTTCACAGTGTGCGAGTTGGGACGCCTAAGTAGACCCTTTGGCCCAAACCGTGGATCGCGCACCGCGAAGCAAGGCTCGCGGGGCAGATTCCAAGACGCGTTGGAGCCTTTTTGAAAGCAGCCCTGCCCGCCTCTTGCGCGGAGTCGCCGGTTTCTAGCATATCTCCCATCATGGCATTCCTCAGCTCTCCAATTCCGGTTTTGGCTTCAGTGAAATTCCCGGATGCAAAGAGTAAGATTCAACTCTTCAAAATTCTTTCAACTGAAGAAAGGAAAGGCTCACATCGTTGATGTTGAACCTCATGCTGCGGATCAGATCTTCAAGACGGGGTGCCATGCTGGCCAGGTCCTCTTAATGCCGTCCCGGCTTTTTTCCATCTTTGCGACTACTTGGTGGGAGGTTCCTCAAGTAGGGTCGATTGCAGGGTACTAGACACACGTGCTGTCTGGAGTTTGGTTATATAAGCGAACTTCTAGAGGTCTGGATGCTGCAGGCCTGGCCGGGCCCGAGGCAGGGGGCCTCCTTAACACAAATCCGTAGTCGGTAGTCGCCCCTTGAGTAGGGGCCTCGAAATTAAGTCAAGTTTACCGGGCTATTCAGGATCGTGTGACTGTCTGGCGGTCTAGGGTGGGGTCCGGAAGGTCGTAAGAAGATTTCGTGCGGGGCACCCTCTAAATCAATTGCCGGGCCTCGCAGTCCCTTTTAATCTCATATAGCCTCATCCCTTTTAACCTCAGAAAGAAATTATTGGACCGTTCAAAGATGGCCAAAATCAGCTTCGAAGTTGGGGAAGAGGGTTGGGGGCCGGCACATGAAAGAGAATGCAACTTAATGAAAGGCATTGTTTGGGTTTCTGGTGTCCAGCCTGCTCACCCTGCTCCCTATTGAAGCCCCCAGTCCTGGCTAACGATCTTCGCAACCAAGGAATCAGCACCTGCAGTCCTTTTGTCCCCATTCAGGTGGGCACTGAAATCGTTCGGAGGGAAGATGATTCTTGTAGGGTCCAGTGACCAGAACGTCGTATCTGGGCTCCATGAATAGAAGCTCATTGTCTTCTGGAAGGGCAATTTTGTGAGGTCTCTGGCCACCCCCACGGCAAGAGGCATGTCGTAGGCTGCGGCTTTCTGCATGGTATCGTCTAACCTGGGCCATTCTTGCGGGTGTTTTACTGTAGCTGAAGCATTGAGGCTTTGTGCAATTCGACACATCGAAACCAAAAGAAATGCCCAACTTCCCCAGAGGGACCACCATCCCGCCCCGCCGGTGACATAGGGAACGCACTTGAACACGTCAGCACGGCAGCCCGGTGCGAGCCTCAGCAGCCAAGGTGTTTGTCACGATAGTTTCTGCAATCAAGCGCTCCTTCTTTCTGTCTTTCGAGGGGCACACTCTCCACTCTCTCTTTTTCTTTCTTTTTCTTTCTTGGGGGCGAACCCCCGCGCTCCCATTTTGTGGAGTGAGAGGAATCGGGGGGGGGAGGTCTGATATCATTCGTAACCTTCTTTCTTTCTTTCTGCGCACCTAACCCCCTTTATTCAGGGGGGCCGCCCCGAAGGCGTGCGTTACAGAGTGGAGGATGAACTGAAGCTGTCGTAACCTTCTCTCTCTCTCTCTCCGTTCTCCTTCTGCTTCTTCTTCTTCTTCTACCTTCTACCCAGCGAAGAGGCCCCCCCGAAGGGTGGCCCCGGCCGCGCTGGCCCACTGCTCAGCCCGTCGGGTGAAAGTTTGGGCCCCGTCTCTCTCTCTCTCTCTCTCTGTCTCTCTCCTTTTCCTCTTGCTCCATTTGCACGACGGCCCTTTACCAATAAGAAGAACTATTGAAGTATTGAAGGAAGGCAGGCAAGTGGCCAGAAGCGGTTGTCAAAGCATTTTGCCACCAGCTCACCGTTGGGAAGAACCTCCACTCCCTCGGAATCACCTGCTTGTTGGCTTGAAGGCATGCCAAGCTAGAAAAGCCTTTTCAGGACTGCTGACTACATGGATTTCTGATGCTTGGGCTTTCCGCACACGATTACCACCCTCACTCCTCCCCCATCAGCCCAGTTTTTGTTGCACAGTTTCTGTTTCTCATGCGGCCAGTTTCTGATTTTTTCGTGCTGGTTTCCGATTCATAGTTTCTGATACAAGCAAGGCGATGACAAACTAGACACCGATTATCCCGAAAGCAATCCGTGCGAAGATTTCAACTGACACGTATAGCTGGTTGTGTTGTCAGTGCGGTGATCGTGGTGCCGTGGTGTGGTGTAGTAGGCTCGAAGTAGATCGGCAGTGTAGTCTCAATGCGGTGTCGACGGCAGAGAGAGCGCGAAACGGAAAGAAGATGGAATTTAATCGGGTAGAGAAGCGGTGTAGCTGAGGTGATGGTAGTGGGGTGATGGTAATGTGGTGATGGTAGTGTGGTGGTGGTAGTGTGGCGGTGGTGTGGTGGTGGTAGTGTGGTGGTGGTAGTGTGGTGATGGTAGCGTAGTGATTACGGTGGTGATGGTAGTGTGGTGGTGGTAGTGTAGTGATGGTAGTGTGGTGGTGGTAGTGTGGTGTGGCGGTGGTAGTTTGGTAGTGGGGGTAGTGTGGTGGTGGTGGTGGTAGTGTGATGGTGGTAGTGTAGCGATGGTAGTGTAGTAGTGTGGTGGTGGTAGTGTAGCGATGGTAGTGTGGTGGTGGTAGTGTGGTGGTGGTAGTGCGGCGGTGGTAGTGTAGTGATGGTAATGTGGTGGTGGTAGTGGGTGGTGGTAGTGCGGCGGTGGTAGTGTGGTGGTGGTAGTGTGATGGTGGTAGTGTGGTGGTGGTAGTGTGGTGGTGGTAGTGTGGTGGTGGTAGTGTGGTGGTGGTAGCGTAGTGATTACCGTGGTGATGGCGAGGTTTTCAAGCATGCGGAATTCCGCTTCCACGATATTTGCGAGGTTTGCAAGCACACGGAATTCCGCTTCCATGCTATTTGCGAGGTTTTCGCGCGGGCGGAATTCCGCTTCCATGTTCTTTGCGAGGTTTTCGATCGTGCCGGAATTCCGCTTCCATGCTATTTGCGAGGTTTTCATGAAGCTCCGGGCGTCCGCGGCGTACTACATTTGTACTACAAAAGTCGACTTTGCAGGCACCGCGGCAGCGCTCCGACACGCACGATCCCCGCAGAGGGTGCGCGGGGACACTTCAAAATACGCAAAAACGAAAAACAGCGAGAGCACTCCGACACGCACGATCCCCGCAGAGGGGTGCATCGCGCTAGCCGCGGCGAAACCCACCCCAGCCTAAGAAATAAGAGAGAATTTAATAGACAGCGTACAGAAGCGATCCAGCCGACATGGTACTGTGGTGATGGTCGTGTGGTGATGGTAGTGTGGTGATGGTAGTGTGGTGGTGGTAGTGTGATGGTAGTGTGGTAGTGTAGTGATGGAAGTGTGGTGGTGGTAGTGTGGCGGTGGTAGCGTAGTGATTCGTGTGGTGATGGTACTGTGGTCGTGGTAGGCTGGTGTGCTTGGGCGAACGTTTTTTTTTTTTTTTTTTTCCGAAGAACCCTTCGCTGAAGCCTTCGGGAAAAACCACTCATTTTGTTGGTAGTGATGTTGGTCATCGCCTCGCATGCTGCTCTCCAAGGGTTCAGCGGCATATTTCGATTTTCAGCCTCTGAATTCGGGTGCTGATTTCGTATTGTCTGACTCGCATGCTTGTCTCCGGGAGTTCGGTCCGCTGCTGATTGTAGCTTCTGATGCGCATGCTGGTTTCTGATCTTTTCACTCGCGGCTGGTGTTCTGATTCGTAGTTTCTGCAGGCAGACTGGTTTCTGAATTGTTCACTGATCTGTGCCACTTGCCGTTGCCCCCCACCCGCCCATTGCAGTATAATTTTGCGGCTGATGAGGCGGGGTGCTTGTTTCTTCTCTTTGCCTCCCCCCACTTGCCCCACGCGCTAAACCGCTAAACAAGTGCGGGCAGGGCAAGCGGAGCAACCTTAATTATACAACTCCGTCTTGGTGCAATTTCAAATATTCCCCGCGAAGGCATTGCTTGGGCTGCTATGGTCCGCCCTTTGCTCCACAGACAGCAACAGCTAGACAGCCCAATCTCTCAGCCGAAAGAGTCAAGCTTTGATTCAGGCTGGACCCCACCTGTATACCGAAGGTAATCCTCGTTGACCTTCGAGATCTGGAATCTCGTCTCGTTGCATGGAAGAACGAGGCTCTTGTTTATGCCAATTATGTTATCGAAGTAGTTCCAGCTCTCGCTCCTTGGTGCCCACAGCAAGAACACCAGGGAACAACTGCGACCACAAATTGACAACATGGTCAGATACAATGATTAAGCTGGACTCCAGGAGTGGTTCCAGCCGCGGAAATAATCCAGTGCAATACCTGCGTCATGGTAAGCAGAATCCAAGATCTTGGAGGGGAAGAAAATTCCCGTCGTTCCATCGTAGCCCATGCTCCCCAGGGACACGGGAGCCATGGATGGATACCTGGATGGCCACAGCAGAGCTGTTGAAAACATTGAAAACTGAACAACCACCAATTCTGAAAATTCACCAACACCCGTTAACTGCCACGCTCTGAAGTCCTCCTGAAGTCCTCCTGCATCCGGGCACAGAGACTCGACCTCCTGAATCTCAGCGGCATAGGCTTCCGGCCATGCCTCGAGGACTACGTGGTTGTGAGTTACCTGGGCGGCATCTACGGAATCCAATGCAAACAACAACCTCTTCGATGACGTGAAAGCCCAACCTTTCAGAAGTGAGGACAAACATGCTTCAATAGCCGGGTTTCTGTCTGGCCGCATCCCCGATCGGCGATGTTGTTGGGCCTGAAGCTCCAAAACAGATCCTCCCCAACCCTGTCTATTCAGGGTCTGAAACAAAACGGGCAAGTAATATTCTATTTGCCGCCCCGGAAGTTGAGAGGCAAGTGGCCGTAAACATCCAACCAAGGCGTAAAATGCCGTAACAGTGCCAGTACCTGGCCCGTTCGTGACAACGTTGTAGCCCATGCGCTCCTTTGGGTGCGAACATGTGCGAACGCTGAGCTCAAGGACTCAAGCCTCAACTCTACAAAGTGACCATGAGCAGGCTAACATAAAGAGGAGCTGTTTTTGGATGGTTTCGAGACACTCCGCTTTCAGCCCTGGTCCTCTATGAGGATACGGGCCACGGCAGTGGTCACGAAGCTTGCTGCCCAGTCCCCTTCCCAAAGACCCACCTGGGCTGTAGAGGCAGCCGCAGCCGCATCCCGAAGCACCCTAGAAATACACATTTGGGCTTATGGAATTTCTTGGAGAAGTTGCCACGTTGAGAAGAACGGAACAGTATGGCTGAACGGCCTCGTTGCTGGATAGGATTCGCCAACCTGATCACCTCTCGTCAAGTTCTGCCTCTGGCTGAAGTCAATGGCATCACGCAAACATGCTGCCATGACCTCTGGCACGAAAAGCGTCACCTTGGCTTCTGTTTCTTTTAAGTATTCATAAGATCTTTGCAAACACATTATATAAGAGCATTGTTCCTCCAACCCCTCCCCAGTGCTCACAGTGCAGGCGCGGCGGCCAGGATACATGGCCGTCTCATCTTTGTGGCAAGATTAAATGCATAGCCGCCATAGCTATCGAGTTTGGAAGGAAGGGCGCTGAGAGTGTCGGGTTCAAAGTCAGTTAAGAGGATGTTAAGAGGGCTATGGAATATCGAATCAGGGGTTATGTGGCATGCGGCCTGTGAACTCAGGGGGCGCGGGCAAGCTGGGCAACGGGAGCCAATGACGCTGCGCAAGTCGGCTCGGTGTCCAACACTACCGCAAACATCCGCAAACCCACAGCTCCAAAACGACAAACCGCATGCCAGATCCCAGAACCAAAGCCAAGGGCCAAGGGTTAGAGAGGGCCTTTCTGGGCTACTATGATGCCCTCGGCTCAACACGGATGCTAGCCAGCCGCATTAGACTAGTTTGAAGCGGCTGGGCGTGTCAAGTGCCTGGACTGTCGGAATTTATAGCTTGAGAGCTTCGTCTTTGCCTCTCCGCATGCCAGAAAGATCTGGGACAAAGTGGGGTGGCCAAGTCTTTTTTTTTCTCGCCCATCCAGTTGCATGCAGAATGCAGAGTTGCAGCGGATGATTTCTGTCTCCCAAAAACCATCTAAACCAAAAGTTCTTCACGGAGAATTGCACGAATTTGTTCTGAGGGTGAGAGAGAAAAGCCGGGGCAAGCACAGCATGCAGCATGAGGTTTCAGGGTTCGGGGAGGCTATTTCTAGCGGATTCTAGCGTTTGTTTTGAACGGGCTTCTCAGTTTAGTTGAAGGGTTGCTGCGGCTTGCCCCAAGTTAATAAAAGCAGCATCCAGATTGCCTCCCTTAAGCGGTGATGAGGGTGACTGATTCTGCGCTCACGACAAGGATTGACGCATGAGGTGATATGGAATTCTAAACTCTGTGCTCGGCATGCTTTGGTCCCCTTGGCGAAGGAACCACCAGCATGTCCAGCCATAAAGCCAAGCCACAGTCAAATGGTCTATAAGCCACCAAACACAAAGACACTTAGGGTTTAGGGTTTAGGGTTTAGGGTTTAGGGTTTAGGGAAAGGACTTCGAAGCGGTCCATGCTGGGGCTTATTGTTTGCGCCAGTGCACAGGGCTTGCCGTATTGAAACGTGTGCCCACAGCCCTACCACCCCGACCGACCACGCCAAAGCCCTTCTACAGCGGGGCCTCCCATGCCTTTGCGGGTCTGTCCCTATAGGATCTAATCTTTTTCCTTGCAAACTAGCCATGCTCTCTGGTGCTCTGTGTAAGTGTGTAGGTAGTGTGGTTGTTGGAGAAGTGAAACAATAATGGGGGAAACTTCGCATAGGGCGGCTGGTAGGTCTTGGCTTCTAGGCGCGTGAAGATGGCGATGGCTGCGTGCTCAGCATCCTGTAGAAACAGGGCGTGAAACACACGGCCACAAAAGACTTGGAAGCCGTTAAGATGCCGTTAAGTCTTCGAAGGTCAAACTTTCCCGGGGACTCATGGTTGATGATCAATGAATGCCTGGAGTTGTTTTCTGTCATTTTGAAGTCCTGGCTTTTGCCACCCTTCTGACTCTTCTACCCCTGCCAACCGTCGCATTTCTTGTTTTTAACGACGAATGTACTACTTTCCACGACGACCGCATTCACCAGGCGCGCCTTTACACACGCGGGAACGTTTCGGGTTTAGGGCTAGGGGGCCTTTGTCATAGCATCTGGCTGTAGTGTTCTCTTATGCAGAGGGCACCCTCGCACTTGCAAGCCCGAAACCTACAGCCCGAAACCAAGACAAGCCCTACGCTGTTGCTGCTCCTGCTGCCTCTATTGCTGTACTGGTGCTTTACTGCGTGTCTACCTTTCAACGATCAAGCAAGAAGACAGGATCAAGCCATTTTAGGGGCGACTTGGGGAAGCCCACTGCGGGATGGCTTTGGGCTTGCCGACAAAAGCTCCTGATCGTTGCTGTATACAAAAACCTTCCGTTTTTAAGGAATAGTTGCAGGCAACCTGATCGAAAGTGCCCAAGCGCTGCCTCTGGAGCTTGCTCACCTTTTTGGCGAGCTTCTTCCTGAGTTCCGCCGCTTTGTGCCATGCAACAAGGGCCGGGACTTCAGGCTTCTGCAGAGAGCTGAGCTGACATTCTTCATGGGCAGAAGCCAATGGCTTGACGGAACAGTTCGCACGATACGTCGTGCATTTCCTGCATTTCTGAGTACAGGTCAGACATGATTCTCCAGACTCGAGGATGAGGTTTCTGTTTGAGCCCGCCTCAAAACTTCCAGACTTGGGGCATGACTTGTGTAATTTCGGGACAAAAAGATGGCAAAGATTGTTAGGAACGGAAGGAAGTAACAATGCCTCCGCCATTCAGAAAGTATCATGCCGTGGCACTATGATGGACACAAGAAGGCGAACTCCGTGAACATCGAACCCTACAGTGCACACTGCCAAGCTGCAGGTCTGCTCGAATCGCCATCGAGTCCACCGCACGTGCCCCTCCTGTGCGACCGGGATTCAGGGTTTTTGAACTTTGCGTTTTTCCTGTATGAGGCCTTGAGGTTCTAGGGTCTTTGGACTTTCTTTGTCGCTCTGTGTTTTCTCAGAGCTGATCTTTGCAGCCTCGGGATCTATGTTTCTTTCCGGTCTTTCCGGGCCTGTGAATTATCATGTATTCTGCAGCTGCACAATGACAAACCTTGTCAGATCTAAGTTAAGCTTAAGCTTGACGCATGTCGCGAGGGACTGAGGAACTGGAGCGAAATCGCCTGATGATGATTGTGGGTCGGCACATCACATCCTACGGCTACGTTCAGTATGAGGATCGCCAAGGGTTGCGTTGTCAAATGTTTCGACGTGTTTAACATGTTCCAAACGACGCCGAGTCTCACCGAAATTTCCCCGAAGATTCCCGACAACTCCCCACATGAACGACCAGATAACTTTAAAGACTTGTTGAGGGAACATGCTTACTGTAGCTGCTCAACGGCAGCGTCATCCACCAAAGCCCTGAATTTAAAAAACACGTCATCAAACCTGCAAAGCCCCCAACTGGTGAGTGATCATGGCCAGGGACTGTTTAGACGCAAATTCACAACCGCGGCCTTTGCACCGAAGGATGCCATCTATGAACTCCTCCAAGGTCACCTGAGAGCTGCGACGACGAGAAGAACAAGAAAAAGAAGAAAAAGAAGGAGGAGGAGAAGAAGAAGAAGAAATAAAAAAACAAGAAAAACACTTTGACGTCGCCCACGCTCGTAGCTTCACCAACAAGGGGGCTCTTGTTGATGAACTTGCATCTGGCAGCACCCACTCGCAGCGAACCACGGACCAACGGACCACGGCGAACCGCGGGGAAACCGGAAACGCACGTGTCTTTAGCTCCGCCAGCGCGCAGGATCTCAACCTGGTCCGCTTGACATGTTTCGGGAGAGCTGGGTCGTGACGACGAAAACTCGGCCGCCCATGGGCCAGAACAACCTGGTTTGCCTTGGATCGCATATGGCGATATCGACCTGGGGCGTGGCGCTCGCTTTGTGTAGACCGTGACGTCGGCCACTCAAGGGGAGGGGCCACCGCGCGAGACTTCATGAGCGACGGCCAAAATCACTTTACACGGTGAAAGGTCGCGGAATACCATGTTATCGCTTTACGTGGAGCCCTTATTATCGCTTCACATACTATGGGACTGAAGGACCCAGTTGTCTGAATGTGCAAACGAAGGTTATCGCTTTAAGTGGGGCCCGTATCGCTTTCCATGATTTGCTGATGTTCGCAACAACTCGTGTCCACCGTAGTACTGGCTTAGACAAACATTATTTTGGCAGGCGCTCACATGAGCTCACGCGCTGCAGTCGGGGCAAACACCAGTGCTCTCCCTGACCTCTTTTGGAGGCAGGACTCCTGCGAACAGTGCTGCGCTGACAGACATGAGCATTACACCACAGCTGCACCTTCACCTGCCATCGCCGGAGCCACCGACTCTGCTTTGCTGTCTCGACTTCTGCCACTTCCCAAAACCTTCTCTCGTCATGCAGCCTGTCCCTGAGGCCATCAGGCATAGACGTTGGCGTTCCCCAAGGCTTCAATTAAAGCCATGCCCTACATATGATGAAATAACTCATGAAGTGTGGGAGGCGTCTGACGTGACGAGAGGTAGTGGCCACAGAAGCTGCCCACGCCACTTCGCGTGAGGAAGTAAACATTGTTCCCTCAATCCTAAATCCTATGGATACTTATCAACCCTGAACCCCTGGCAAGCCCCGAAAAGCTGCAATCTTGACATCCTTCCTTGTACTTCCAGGCTTCCAAGAAGTTCAGAGCTGCGAGGCATCACGATTCAATGGCAATGCGCAAAACCACCCGTTAGATCCCCAAGTAGTAGACTCGTGCTCTCTCTAAGCATGCTTCTTTGTGCCACCGCATGACCAGCAAATGAACCCTGAGCCCTTGCAGCGCTGCCTCTCCATCGCCATTATCTATGATCTGGAAGAAGACGGAAGTTTCCTGTTGGACTACGTCGGGCTGTTGGTGCCTTGGTCATATGGGTCACGGGTGTCGGTACTTTAAGGGGCATTCGCGGTTTCGACCGCAGTGTTGCACGCTAGCAAAAATAAAACGTATCATTGCGCAGGCCTGTATGCGCAGCCAGTCCAACTCTTCAAGGTGACTCAGGGTGACAGCATGCCATTTGCGCCTCGTGCGTTGTTTGATCATGCTGCTTGCGCGTGTTTTTGGATAGAGGCAACTGGCATGAGCATCACTTTGAAGATGCTTGGAGCAGGCTAAGGTCAGATCTGGCTCTGAGATACAGCTGGTGAGTGCCCTCCAATCGCTCAAAGGCTGAGCAAGAAAGGGAGGAAAACCTACGGGTCCCGACTGGGTCTGTGCACTCATCAACTGTGGTGTGGCTTCGTCCGTTCTGCCCGCAGCCGTGTCAAGCTGGGCGTAGCAAGACAGACGCAGGCTCAGGTAAGGGATGTGCCTCACAGTTTGCTACGATGAAGAATTCGGTGCTTTGAACGTCATTTATCGTCATGCTGCGGGCATTGCTGCGCGAAGCTGCTCCCGCAATCACGGCTCTGTAGTGCATGGTTTAGGGTCGGAGGCGGTTTGTCTGCTCTTGAGAATGGGCCAAGATCCTACAAGCATGCTCTCAGCGGACTTAAATGCAGAAACGGCGAGGCTATTTCGGGTCGTTGGGGCCTCGGCAATCGCAAAATCAGCTTCTTTCCGCCCTTAGAAAAAAACACATATTCTTGAGAGCAGGGCGGACGAAACCTAGGCCCCGCAGATGCGAGGCGGGCATTTGCCAAACCGAAGCGTAGGTCAGCATGAGTTGAAGTTTTCAAGGGGTCCAATAGACCCCACGACATGCAAGGCGTCGCCTTCTGACTGACACCAAAGGGAGCGGGGGAGGCCCCTCCTCCCCGAGTGGCGGCGACACCTAAAATCCTTGACATATCAGGGACAAAGGCCCTCAAGTGAAATGTCAAAAACAAGAAGGTTGTAAACAAAAACTCCCGCAAACTCCTAAGGAGCTAGCTTTCGTGATTGCCCAACAGGAGGAAACTATACAACAAAGAACAAAACACCAGCAACTCTACAGTATAGGACCCTACACATGCCCCTCACAATGCTGCATGTTCTGATGGGTACGAGTAAGTGAAGAAAAGGACTTTTAGGGAGTCAATAGGATGTGCCAAGTCAAGCAGTCCTGCACGTCCAAGTCAAGGATGTTGAAATAAGCTGCCACCTTCAACAGGTTTCGGTCTTAGCAAGAGCTGTGTGGGCCCGCGAAGCTGAAGGCATCACCGCAGAGCAGAATGCGTAGGGTCTGCATGTGCCAAAACTCACCCTGAAGACCTAAAGCCCCAAAAACATCCTTGAACAATCTCTCACTCAGAAACAGAAGCTGTAGCCAACCCCGACACGACGCAATAATGGAGATTCACACGCAGAGGTTCGTGGCCTCCTGGAGCAAAGTCTTGACTAAACAATATTCGGTAAGCCCTATGGCCCTGAAGAACTCATACCAACTCCGAAAAACAGGCTGCATGCCTCTCTGAAGGCTGAGCCCAGGCCATCCCCTATACCATCCCAAAGTGACTTGTCGAGAGCACGCTGTGAGATTCACATCCCAAACCACAAGTGTTGTAGAAGCTTGTTGAATAGTGAAATCCACTTAAGAGCACTCAGAAGCTGCGGCCTGTGGCTGAGAGAGAAGCTCTTGGAGCCGTGCCTCCGTAATCAGGCCATCACCTGAACGGCGAGGGTCTCACACAACACAAATCCCAGAACTGAGGCATATATGGTAATTAGCAGTGCTCAGTTCAGGGCTGTGTCTGAGGGCATGTTCGGGTCTGGACGTTAGAAGCGTAGACATGCTTGCAGCTTGTGTTCTCCGGCATTACGGAGCCTTGTTCGCAAGCAGCTTCGCCACCCTAAGCCCCCTCAACAGAAAATTTCAGACACTACCCAAACGCTGTGTGTATATGTCCAGCTCAGTGAAGTCAGTGAAGTCAGTGAAGTGGCCGGTGTGATCGATTGCTTTGAAGACTGCCTGGCACATATGCACACTGCCCACAACTGGAATCCACTCATCCTTGAAAGTCAGAGAGAGTTGCACCCAAGTCCAGGCTTCTGGACCTACCTGAACTAAACTAGATAATGGCACGTCGCCTGGATGCTGCCGAAAGCCCAGTCATATGTTGAACCCAGTGCATGTCGCCGACAGCCGCCATTGAACCCTTAGTTTATTAGCGAACAAACCCAAGGTACCGATCAAACACCGCCAGACATCATTCCACGACACGCCCGGCACCCTGCCGAGTGTGCCAACCAGCACATGTATTCACAACCCCCTCAGCTAGGAAACAAAAGCACATGGCTCTAGCCAAGTTGTTCGGCAGTTCGGCACAGGCGGTTCTTGTGTTGACAGGATTGCGTCTCCGCAAGGGATCTTGGAAGGCGAGCCATGTTTGCTCAATGCGGGGATGCTATTCCATTCGCAGAAGTCACGCAGCATGGCCGTTCGGATCTAGATACATGTCGTTTTGCAGGGGCTCATCATTCATCATGTCTGGATAAAATGAAAAACCTCAGCTTGCAAACGCGCCTCCAGCTGCTCCACGTATTTGGCCTTCCGGTTCATTCTGTCCACGACCAACTGCTCCTTTCTCCAGGACCCGCCACCGCACTAAATCCGGCGCGATTCTCTGGTGAACCGGCCCAAAGGTTTCCAAAGGTATAAAAACGTTGTTTCAAAGACTGCAGGTGGACTTCATGCAAAGAACTAAGCATTATAGCTTTGCAAGTCAAAGTCCGAGCCTAGAAAGCTTTCAATGTAGAAAGCCGTTCATGCGCCATATTCTTACTTCTGAAGAGTTCTGCACTCAGTGGGCGGAAAACCTCCGCCTAACACAGCCCAAGCCCTAACCCACTTGCAGCCTTAGACCTGCGACCCTGTGTCGTCTAAAGTGCAAGTAATGCAAGTACTCACTGGCAAAGTGTATATCGTGTGTCTCAAGGGCATTGAGCTTTCGGGCTGTCTAGTAGCAAATGGGCTTCGGAAACAATTTTGCGCGGAATTCGTGGGGTATCAGTCCCTTGCACGCTGCAGCAGTCGCAGCCTGCAGTCTTTGAGAGGCATTTGTGTTTCAGACTTCCAGCGTTGCAGCCTTGCACGGGAACTAGATCCGTGTGGACAACAAACTCTTTGGACTTTGGCCTTGGGTGCTGCGGGTGCGAGGGTCCTTGGGAGGAACGTGGAGGAACTTCCTGCAACTTGCAAGGGTGCAACTTCAGTTACGCGACGTCTCAATGACAACCCAAGCTAATCATCACGCATGACGCGCGAGCGCGTCACGAATTTTCAAGCTTGCAAGTAACCAATTCACATAGACCCTCGACCCCTACAGCGTACTTGCGAATGGGTAAACCAGAGAACAACCCCCGAAACAAACACAGTAAGCCAAGAGTCAGGTTGTGGCAAATGCGTCCGAGTGTCGGCATCATTCTGTGCGGCATCTAGAGTGTCTTTCAAAAAGATGGCAGTTATCACCTCAGATGCGCACGCCCGCGCACACACACACACACACCACTTTGTTTATGCAGTCGCCGCCATTCGACGCCACAGAGATGAGATCTTCTTCTTGAACTTCCGGGCTTTCACGGTTAACTCTTCGGATCGTGTCGAATGTGCAATGAAGGCAGTGAGCGCTCTGGAACTCAAAAGAGCTTGAACGTGAAGGGCTACAATGTCAAGGATTCTGCCTGGCTCTGACCAAGTTGTTTGCCCTGGAACGGCCTGGTTGCTCTTTGCCCCTCTCCGGCCTAGTGTGGCCACTTGTGTAAGCTTTGGGAATGTCGGCGCTTTTACACAGAGATCCCTGAAAGCAGCCCTGTCCAGTTTTGGGCGCACACAGTTCGGCCAACAAATCGAAACGTGTGGAACCTGGTCGAAGCAAGTCGCTCGGATCACTGCGAAAACCACAATCGTGATGTACACGACCAACCAAAGTGTTGTACTGCTGGAGCGCGTCGTTTGCTGCCAGCAGTTGAAAGAAGGGACCAACATCGGGTCCTTAGCTGGAGGCTGAAACGCCTCAGTGTGGATCGACTTGTGGATCCTTAGCAGGAGGTAGGAGGCAGGGAAGCCTCTCCGCCCGAAGACACATGCAACAAGGCTCCTTAGCTTGGAGCAGGTTCAAGACCCTTAGCCTGGAGCTGACTCAAGACTTGGTCCCGAGGGCCTTAGCTGTGAGGTGTTTGGACCTCACGTGAACAGAAAACTTCAGGATCCCGCACCAGAGTGAAGGAGGAAGAAGAGCACGGAGGAGAGAGGCAAGCGGAGTTACCTGTCACCGTATCTAGTTTTCCACAAGGCATCAACAGTAGCAGCCAGATGAGCCAACGCAAGAGGAGCATTGTGATCATCTTTACCAAGCCAACCGAAACGGAAGGTCAACGGATTTTGAGGAGGGGAGAGACCAACAGGCAAGGGATTGCAAGGACAGTCCCAAGCTACATGTCTCCAAGAGCCAAACTCGTGGCCGCACCACGGGCAAGCTTGACTAACACCCTCCTTGTCCGCGCAGACTTTTCCATACCAACTAGGGGAAACAACAGAAGCCAGCATGACAGCCCTGTGACCAGGCCCAAAGCTTAAGGCTTCCCGGCTTTGCTCGATGGAGATTGCAGCATAGAATCTACGTAGATCATCAGGCGTGTACTGAGCGCAGAGCTCTCTGGCCTCATGACGCTTTCCTTTCAGGAAGTGCTCATAGGCGTTTCTGCGATACTGAGCCCGGAACGCGTGCAACTGAGCATCCACGGCACCAGTACCCTCAAGCTTCACAGTGCTTTCAGCCCGAGGGATTAGACGCACCCACCTCTGTGGGACAGTCCATTCCCAGGGGCCAACTTCAAGGAAGCCAAACCTATTGAGGGTCTTGCGCAAGGCCGAAACTGCGGTGTGCGGCCCGGCTGTCCATCTAGGTCGATGGCCTTTGTCTACCTCCTTAGCCATGCGTTTCCACGTCCTGCAGAGAACGACAAGGGAGAGGTCAAGCACAGCCCCATAGAGGGTTTTGCGGAAGGCTTTGCAAGCCAAGCGGTTGGTCTTGTAGGCAGCAGTCAGGCTGTTGAAGACTTTACCAGCACTGGTCAGAGTGGGAAAGCGAGAGACCCAACCATAAGACGCCTTGTTCAAGACAAAGCATCGGAAGGCAAGAGTCTTTCTTTGCCAGGCAAGAGGCACAGAGCGGAGCAAAGCAGCAGTCTGGATAGCAGCATCAACCCTGTCAGCCTCAGTGGAGCTTTCTTTGCGCGGCTGCGCAGTAGTAGTGCACCCAAGAGCCTTGATTTCGGTTCTAATCCAGTCCTGGGGGCAATCAATGGCAACCTCCTGTTTAGCAAGCTTGCCACGTGCACAAACCTGCGTTTTCTTACCGTTTTCCAAGAGTCCCATGCTGGCACTCCAGGAGGACCAAGCGCTGATGCGACTCTTAACAGCAAACCAGGTGCGCGCATACATAGTGCGGTCATCCATATAGATGGAGGTATCTGCGGAGAAGTCCTGCCCAGCTTCAGTTGCTTTGATGCCCGCAGTAGTGTAGACAGCAAGGATCAAAGGGGCAAGCGGGCAGCCTTGCGGCGTGCCGGATGGCTTAAGAACTCTAGGACACGTGTGACCGTCCCACTGGATGAACCTTTGCTGCTCTCCCCACGCCAGCTGAAGCAAGCGAGGGAGGCCGGGGGGAAAGTTCAAACTGGCCAAGGCGGAAGCCGTGAGATTCGGATTTAACCGATCGAAGGCTTGAGAGAAGTCAAGGGCGCAGAGGACCCCACCCTGACCCGCAAACTTCGATTGAAGTCTGTCCACAGCACTTTCAGGGCTGTCAGAACCTTTACCATAGCAGACTCTAGGGTCCAGGTTTGCTGAGGTCCAAGCAGCCATCTGAGGAGAGTGCACCCATGCGCTGGCGAAGGCCCGCCACCAAACACTCATCACAGTGAGCGGTCTAGTGCCGCCGACAGGCAGTCTATTGCCTTTTTCGATCTTGTCAGGTTTAGGCACGGTAGCCTGCCGTGCCTGAAGCATCTGCAAGGGCAATTGTCCCGCCAACGTCCAACGAAGAACGAGTTCGTGGTAGCAACCGATGGCCTGGTTAGGGACGTACCTGAGCTCGTCCCCATCCCAGCCGTCAGCACCAGCGGACCCTTTAGCTTTCTTGACAGCCTGGGTTAAAGCATCAAGGGGGAGCGCGTCCCAAACAAGTTTGCTTTGGTCTTCACCAAACTGCTTGCAAAGGTTAGCAGCGGCTTCATCAGTGTTGACACTACCGCTCTCTTTCCAAACAGAGGACCAGAAGTCATGAATCATGTCCGCAGCTTTGATCCTATCGTGGGCTTCACCCTTAGAATCGTAGAGCGTGACACCGAAACAAACTTGCTTCTGGTTCTTAAGCCAGCGACCCAAGTGACCGAAAGTGCCCTGACACATGCGATCTTTCCAGTTTTTTAGCCTCTTACGGGCCTCAGCTTGCTCAAGCTTGTGCTGCTGCTGCTTAAGCTGTTTGAGTTCCGCAGCGACGGCATCCCGCACGTCAGGGGCGTCAAGAGCTTCCCAGCCAGGCCCGAGTTTGCGCAATAAAGCAGGGTCGATAGAGGCCCCGTTTTTTGCAATGCGCAGAGCTTCATACAGCCTGGCAAGGCGGCGACGGATGCGCCGTTGTGCCTCTCCTGGGTTTTGTTGCCCACCAGAGTTTTTCCCCACCGTGACCCATTGGAACCGAGCAGGCCTGCCCTTGGCTTCAAAGCCATATTGGTCGGACAAACGCTTGATCTCTTCAGTTTGCTCAGGGTCGATACAAACTTGGCCAAGTTTATACAAGGCTTCGACAAAGCAGATTCGCATGCAGCTCATGAAGCAGTCCCAGCTGTCTTGCACAGAAAAGGGGCTTTCATTCTTAAGCTGATTCCTCATGTCTGCATAGTCCTTAGTTTTCTTTACCACCCTGTCCCAGGCTTCACTCAGAGCTTGGGTCCACTGCTGGCCACTGAGAAAGCTGGGCTTGTGCCAGGTTGGCGCTGGTTTAAGGCGCCCACGTCTAGGAGTCTGCACCTTATCGGTCAGTCTGAGCCAGAAGCCAGGGTGGTCCGACACGGCACGCCTAGTTTCAGCACCTTGGAAGGAGAGTCTCATGGGAGAGATAGTGCTGGCAGCCCAGTCAATGCGCTTCTTACTGGTCCACCTGTGCGCAGCGCCTACCAACCAGCCGCCTTTGGCAAAACAAAGAGGACCCAAAACATTGTCTTCAGGTTCTTGGTTCCAGTCACCAGTGAGCAACCATTCCTGCTTATCCAAAGCATGAGCAGCGAAGAGAGAGCCAAGCATCTCGGCCCCCACCTGCTCGTTGCCCGGAGCAACGTAGGCGTTTAGAAGAAAGGCATCAGGAAGCCAGACACCCAACATTTGCACCCCTCTTCTGCTGTCCGTGACGACAGCACCATGGCGAACCGTTTTGCGAACGAGAGTGACCACCCCACCCCACCGCCCTTGCTCAGCGGGAGCAGCGCATTGGAAGGTAGAGTAGTCTTTTTTCTTAGCTTGACGGGCAAAACCACCAAACTCAGACCTAGAAAGAGAGGCTTCCTGCAAACAGACGACGTCAGCATCAAAGAAGTCCTCAGCCAAAGCTCTCCAGCAACCTGGGGCCCCACCCACGTTGAGTGAGAGGATGCTGATGCCACACAAACTTGCCTGTGCATGAGGCCCAGGGTTCTTAGCTTCGCCAATTCTGTAGTGAGGCCGGCCATAGACCGGCCTAGACCGTCAAGAGAGCAGCTTGCTGATCTCTTCTTCAGTCCAACCAGTTTTTTCGAGAAGCAACTGCTTGTGCTCAGGATCTTCCTTGCAGAGACGCTTCCACCAAGCAGCTTTCATGTGCTTGGCAGTGAGGCAGGAAGAGAGTTTGGCCAGTCGTTCCTTGCAAGGGACCTTAAGGAACTTGGGGCTTCTACGTTGCAAGTGCGCCAAGCAGTTTCTACAATACACATAGCTGCCTCTGTTGTTGTCCCACTTAGGTTTCGGGAGGAGGATTCTCACATGATCATCCTTTTCATCTTTTCCTTTCTTAGTTCTGGCCGCGGCAAGTCGCTCGGTGAGCTTAGCTTTCATGCTCGCAGGCTTTTTCCAGCCTTTCAGGCGTTTGTGATGCAGGGAGCTGGGGGTCTCCTCAGGGTGCTCATCTTTGCAATGTTGTGCAATAGCACAAAGCCTGTCAAAAGTGGACATGGCCGGAAGGCCTTTTTGACAAATAGGACAGCTCCATCCTCTCGCTTCCTGTGGGAGCTCACTGCTCGGAGTAGCAGGGAGTTTCTTTTTGGAAGGAAAGACCTGGTTGAGAGGGATTTCAGGATGCCTGCTTTTCATATGGTGCTTTTTGGAAGAAGAAAGGCTGGCAGAACTGCAGCAACTAAGCACAGCGCCACAAACAAAGCATGGCCATTCCCACTTGTCGAGGGGCCGAGGGGCCTCCTCTTGTTGGGCTTGCGGGGTTTTCTTGCCGTGGATACGGTACTTCTTGGGGATGAGATTGTCAAGGTCGCCAGCAATAGTTTCAGAGTAGCAAACTTGAGGGGGCTCTTTACGCTTTTTAAGCAAAGCTTGACCAAGCGCTTTTCTAACACTACTAAGCCCGGGACGGTCTTTGCATTCCTGAGCTTCTGAGGCACAGGCGGACTTTACGCGGACACTAAGCCCATGACCAGCCGACACTGCGCTGGGGAACGCAAGACTACGGAGAGAAGGCGTAGCATCCCCTGCTAGATGCTCAATACCTTCAGGAGCCTCAGTGTTCCTGACAAGTTGGGCATCACAACTTGGCTTGACAGCAGTCTGAGCGGTGAAAGCAGCGGATGCCCTGCTACTCGCCGACTTCTTGCGCAGAGCGGCGCAGCTACGAGGCTTAGTGTCGCTAGCGCATTCAGTGACAGCGTGGCCAGCAGTGTGGACTGACGGTGTGCAGCTGCCTTTCAAAGAATGCAGAGACGGAGTGGCCTCTCCGCTTCTGGGGGCGGCACCTTGAAGTATGCGCCTTTCGGGGATGATGGACTCGCGAAGCCAGCTCCTTTTGGCTACTTTGACATCCAAATCCTCAGGCGGTTTAAGCCAAGTGAAGTGCTCGTTTTTTAACAGCAAAGTGATGGGCTGAAGCTTGCGGGCAATTTTAGCGTATCCTCCAGAAAAATCAGGGGCTATCGTGGCACGTTTCCAGTGTTTGCCTTCTTGGTTGAAATACCACACAACAATAGGTTGGCCATATCTAACAGCGCAGGCTAAAAGCACGAGGCCGTCGGCCCAAGCTTGAGGGGATTCCATTTGCGTGAGCCACGTGCCGAAGTTGTTCTTAGCAACCTCAGGTTGAACAGCAGGGCTTTCGGGGGAGATGGGCTTATCCGGGGCAAAGTTGGGCAGGTATCTGTCAATATGTCTCCTCAAGTGCGAGATGGCATCAACACGAACCATAGCCCCTTTGTTTTTGCTTTCAGTTTCAGTGAGCAGCTTGTTGTTGGCAGCGTACTCCCTGGCAGCAGCGATAGAGCGGAAGGCGCAGTCTCCATTGCCTTTTTGATTGACCTCGACCCATCCCTCTCTCATAGCCTGTGCAACTTCATCAGCTTCAGGGAAGGCGGGACTGGTGTCGTTAGCAGCGTCAGTGCCAGCTTCACGAGTTTGACCAGCTTCACCCTCTAAGAGGCTGGTCTCCTCGTCAACATTCATGACATCTTCTTTGTTTTCGCTTGGCTTGCTTTTGGTATCATTCAGGAAGAACTTTTTCGGAGGACCCCTGACCTCGACAATTTCAGAGGCTTTAGGGCCTTTAGGGGGGGCTTTGGAGACATGGATATGCAAACGAGGGTCATCCTTGTCACAGTACTGCCAAACCACAGAAGTGGCTGAGTCAGCGCCACCCAGCGGAGGAAAGCCTTTGAAAATCCAGCGAATATCTTTCTTTCCATGTCTTTTCCTAGCAATGCAAAAGACCTCCTTCCAACCCTGAGCCTCAAAGAACCCGGTGACTTCGGAGCCTTCCCAGGATTTGGGGATGCCTTGAGCTTGGACCGTCAGGGCACGGGGTTCAGGGGTGCCATCAACAACGAAACCAAGGTCGCTACCCTTGCCGATACGGTACTTGAGGCCTTGACCTTTAGCGGCTGCAGCAGCAGCAGCAGCACGAAAGTAAGTTTCGTCGTCTGAATCTTTTTTGGGGACCCAGTGCACGATTTCTTCAGGCCTGTCAGTGACATTAGTCAAGGTAATCATGATGCCCCGTTCTCCACTTTTACGTACAAGAGCATCGGCCAACTTTTGCGTCACTCTGAGGTGTCCAACCAACTGATGGCCATCCTTAGTGGTCGACCATCTCCAGCTGCCGCCGGTGAGCTGGGATATCTGGCATATTTTCCACTTCCCGATTTCAGCTAACACGTCTTTCACTTGGTCCCAACCGTCTTCGTTTCGGAATAGGACTCGGTAGTGATATGGAGCTGAGATACGGACGGTGACCTTAGCAGGCGGCGCAAACTTGGCTACCTCAACTTTTGAGGCCTGTCTAGCCCACGGCGCCGCGTGTGTATCTCCCAGGACAATGACTGTTACGTCTTGAACCACGACGGGACCTGCACCACGTTTGACACTGACCTTGGTATTGTAACCGCCTAAGGCCTTGCAGTCAGCAACTAGGAGCAGAACAGTCAGAGGGTCATACCTGGAAGCGGCATTCCACAGGGCTTTCAACTCCTGTGCTTCAGCTTCAGACTTGACGACAACGACGTTTCCGTCGATCTCACCTCCCTCTTGCACAGCTTTGGTAACTGTTGCTTTTGAGATGAGTTTGATTGCCTTGGTCCATTCACTGGCATTGAGGCTAATCGGGCCAGTCGCAGAGCCGGCCGCAGGGCTTCCTGCGTGGTTTTGTTTCTGTTGTTGAGGGCCTCCGGAGTCCTTTGGAGCAACGCTGGTGATTTTTTGGGGAACTTGGGTTTCGGGGCCAACAGTTTCAGCTCTAGCATTAGATTTCAAAAGAGTGTCCTGCACTCTTTTAACAACAACTTCATCCGAAGCGTTTTGCTGGGCAAGCTTACCAAGGAGGGTTTGAAGTTGAGCGATCAACGACTCTTCTTTCTGTTGGGATTTTGACTTCTTGGCAGGAGGCTGAACGGCTGAGGGGGCCTTAGTTTTATTCTGCCAGTGAGCCAGAAACTCCAGCAGGGCGCTAGAAAGGGAAGGTTCTTCGCTTCCCTCCTGTGTGTCCTGCAGGTTTTCTTCTCTCTCTTCTCTCTCTCTTCTCTTCCTACGCGTAGCCGCTGAAGTGCCTCCAGCAAGCTGTGATGACAACTGGGCCAAGGCATTCATGAAATCAGCATTGCTTTCAGAGTGGAAAGAAGAAGGAGGAGCAGCTTTCGCGCCACTGGAACAGAGGCGTCGGAGAACAAGACAGCTTTGTTGGATGGCTGCGGTGTCTCGGGCTGAGGCAGTTCGAAGCGGCGAACTCCTCCAGCAGCATCCCAGTCCTCTAGCACCACGCAGGCCTGAGACTCGTAGGGCCCCGACCTTCCTGCAAGGTAAAAGGCATGAGCTGTAGACGACAACACGCAACCAAGCTTGTTTGTACGGCCCTTGGGGGGACCGGGGTTTCCTGCAATGACGGCGCACAGTGTCGCCTTGCACACTTGTCTCAGGATCCACCACTACAGGTGAAGCCGAAACGTGAGTATCTGTGGTCATAGACCGTTGGTGTATGACAAACGCTCTCCAAGAGGCAAGTGCCAGCAAGAGGCGAAAGAACTCACCACAACAGCCTAGAAACAACCACAGCGAAAGAGGTCCAATCCTCTTTTGAAGCCCGTGCATGAGCTGCGCAGGCTGACCACAAAACAGTGCGGAAAGCATCTTGTCAAGGTTAGGTACAGCAAGACCAAAAAGCGTCACAGAAGCGCAACCTTTCACCCTAAAAGGCCAAGCATCCGTGCTCCCTGGCTTGTTCTTCACATCTTTATCCGCAACCTCGCTCGCCGCAAGGTTCACCGCATTCTCTTCATTGATCATTTTCGCAGCCCATGGCATCCATGTGCTATCAAAGGAACTAACTACGGGGGGCCCAGTAGGGCCGGTGCATGTGCGAAGACACGACATGTTATGCATGTGAGCAGTGGCACCAGGCAAGCAAAGCAACAGCAGCAGCAAATGCAACCACCTAGAAGAGTAGTACATCGGCTGCCCCCGGCCGGCCGCTCTTGGATTCAGAATTTCTTCTTGCATCTTTTTCTGAGCAGTAGCTCGAGGAATACGAATTTTTTCTTGCATCTTTTCTTTGATTTCCACATCAGTGGTTGGCGGCTGACAGAACTTAGTGAAGGTCACACAGCACCGACAGCATCTAATTAGAGAAGATCTCATCATGGGGTCTTTGTTTGTTTCTTGTGTACTCTTCGTCAAACAATGCTTAGATTGCTTGTCCGCGGCCACCACGAGGAGGTAGTACACAAGGACGCTCGTGATGTACATGACCAACCAAAGTGTTGTACTGCTGGAGCGCGTCGTTTGCTGCCAGCAGTTGAAAGAAGGGACCAACATCGGGTCCTTAGCTGGAGGCTGAAACGCCTCAGTGTGGATCGACTTGTGGATCCTTAGCAGGAGGTAGGAGGCAGGGAAGCCTCTCCGCCCGAAGACACATGCAACAAGGCTCCTTAGCTTGGAGCAGGTTCAAGACCCTTAGCCTGGAGCTGACTCAAGACTTGGTCCCGAGGGCCTTAGCTGTGAGGTGTTTGGACCTCACGTGAACAGAAAACTTCAGGATCCCGCACCAGAGTGAAGGAGGAAGAAGAGCACGGAGGAGAGAGGCAAGCGGAGTTACCTGTCACCGTATCTAGTTTTCCACAAGGCATCAACAGTAGCAGCCAGATGAGCCAACGCAAGAGGAGCATTGTGATCATCTTTACCAAGCCAACCGAAACGGAAGGTCAACGGATTTTGAGGAGGGGAGAGACCAACAGGCAAGGGATTGCAAGGACAGTCCCAAGCTACATGTCTCCAAGAGCCAAACTCGTGGCCGCACCACGGGCAAGCTTGACTAACACCCTCCTTGTCCGCGCAGACTTTTCCATACCAACTAGGGGAAACAACAGAAGCCAGCATGACAGCCCTGTGACCAGGCCCAAAGCTTAAGGCTTCCCGGCTTTGCTCGATGGAGATTGCAGCATAGAATCTACGTAGATCATCAGGCGTGTACTGAGCGCAGAGCTCTCTGGCCTCATGACGCTTTCCTTTCAGGAAGTGCTCATAGGCGTTTCTGCGATACTGAGCCCGGAACGCGTGCAACTGAGCATCCACGGCACCAGTACCCTCAAGCTTCACAGTGCTTTCAGCCCGAGGGATTAGACGCACCCACCTCTGTGGGACAGTCCATTCCCAGGGGCCAACTTCAAGGAAGCCAAACCTATTGAGGGTCTTGCGCAAGGCCGAAACTGCGGTGTGCGGCCCGGCTGTCCATCTAGGTCGATGGCCTTTGTCTACCTCCTTAGCCATGCGTTTCCACGTCCTGCAGAGAACGACAAGGGAGAGGTCAAGCACAGCCCCATAGAGGGTTTTGCGGAAGGCTTTGCAAGCCAAGCGGTTGGTCTTGTAGGCAGCAGTCAGGCTGTTGAAGACTTTACCAGCACTGGTCAGAGTGGGAAAGCGAGAGACCCAACCATAAGACGCCTTGTTCAAGACAAAGCATCGGAAGGCAAGAGTCTTTCTTTGCCAGGCAAGAGGCACAGAGCGGAGCAAAGCAGCAGTCTGGATAGCAGCATCAACCCTGTCAGCCTCAGTGGAGCTTTCTTTGCGCGGCTGCGCAGTAGTAGTGCACCCAAGAGCCTTGATTTCGGTTCTAATCCAGTCCTGGGGGCAATCAATGGCAACCTCCTGTTTAGCAAGCTTGCCACGTGCACAAACCTGCGTTTTCTTACCGTTTTCCAAGAGTCCCATGCTGGCACTCCAGGAGGACCAAGCGCTGATGCGACTCTTAACAGCAAACCAGGTGCGCGCATACATAGTGCGGTCATCCATATAGATGGAGGTATCTGCGGAGAAGTCCTGCCCAGCTTCAGTTGCTTTGATGCCCGCAGTAGTGTAGACAGCAAGGATCAAAGGGGCAAGCGGGCAGCCTTGCGGCGTGCCGGATGGCTTAAGAACTCTAGGACACGTGTGACCGTCCCACTGGATGAACCTTTGCTGCTCTCCCCACGCCAGCTGAAGCAAGCGAGGGAGGCCGGGGGGAAAGTTCAAACTGGCCAAGGCGGAAGCCGTGAGATTCGGATTTAACCGATCGAAGGCTTGAGAGAAGTCAAGGGCGCAGAGGACCCCACCCTGACCCGCAAACTTCGATTGAAGTCTGTCCACAGCACTTTCAGGGCTGTCAGAACCTTTACCATAGCAGACTCTAGGGTCCAGGTTTGCTGAGGTCCAAGCAGCCATCTGAGGAGAGTGCACCCATGCGCTGGCGAAGGCCCGCCACCAAACACTCATCACAGTGAGCGGTCTAGTGCCGCCGACAGGCAGTCTATTGCCTTTTTCGATCTTGTCAGGTTTAGGCACGGTAGCCTGCCGTGCCTGAAGCATCTGCAAGGGCAATTGTCCCGCCAACGTCCAACGAAGAACGAGTTCGTGGTAGCAACCGATGGCCTGGTTAGGGACGTACCTGAGCTCGTCCCCATCCCAGCCGTCAGCACCAGCGGACCCTTTAGCTTTCTTGACAGCCTGGGTTAAAGCATCAAGGGGGAGCGCGTCCCAAACAAGTTTGCTTTGGTCTTCACCAAACTGCTTGCAAAGGTTAGCAGCGGCTTCATCAGTGTTGACACTACCGCTCTCTTTCCAAACAGAGGACCAGAAGTCATGAATCATGTCCGCAGCTTTGATCCTATCGTGGGCTTCACCCTTAGAATCGTAGAGCGTGACACCGAAACAAACTTGCTTCTGGTTCTTAAGCCAGCGACCCAAGTGACCGAAAGTGCCCTGACACATGCGATCTTTCCAGTTTTTTAGCCTCTTACGGGCCTCAGCTTGCTCAAGCTTGTGCTGCTGCTGCTTAAGCTGTTTGAGTTCCGCAGCGACGGCATCCCGCACGTCAGGGGCGTCAAGAGCTTCCCAGCCAGGCCCGAGTTTGCGCAATAAAGCAGGGTCGATAGAGGCCCCGTTTTTTGCAATGCGCAGAGCTTCATACAGCCTGGCAAGGCGGCGACGGATGCGCCGTTGTGCCTCTCCTGGGTTTTGTTGCCCACCAGAGTTTTTCCCCACCGTGACCCATTGGAACCGAGCAGGCCTGCCCTTGGCTTCAAAGCCATATTGGTCGGACAAACGCTTGATCTCTTCAGTTTGCTCAGGGTCGATACAAACTTGGCCAAGTTTATACAAGGCTTCGACAAAGCAGATTCGCATGCAGCTCATGAAGCAGTCCCAGCTGTCTTGCACAGAAAAGGGGCTTTCATTCTTAAGCTGATTCCTCATGTCTGCATAGTCCTTAGTTTTCTTTACCACCCTGTCCCAGGCTTCACTCAGAGCTTGGGTCCACTGCTGGCCACTGAGAAAGCTGGGCTTGTGCCAGGTTGGCGCTGGTTTAAGGCGCCCACGTCTAGGAGTCTGCACCTTATCGGTCAGTCTGAGCCAGAAGCCAGGGTGGTCCGACACGGCACGCCTAGTTTCAGCACCTTGGAAGGAGAGTCTCATGGGAGAGATAGTGCTGGCAGCCCAGTCAATGCGCTTCTTACTGGTCCACCTGTGCGCAGCGCCTACCAACCAGCCGCCTTTGGCAAAACAAAGAGGACCCAAAACATTGTCTTCAGGTTCTTGGTTCCAGTCACCAGTGAGCAACCATTCCTGCTTATCCAAAGCATGAGCAGCGAAGAGAGAGCCAAGCATCTCGGCCCCCACCTGCTCGTTGCCCGGAGCAACGTAGGCGTTTAGAAGAAAGGCATCAGGAAGCCAGACACCCAACATTTGCACCCCTCTTCTGCTGTCCGTGACGACAGCACCATGGCGAACCGTTTTGCGAACGAGAGTGACCACCCCACCCCACCGCCCTTGCTCAGCGGGAGCAGCGCATTGGAAGGTAGAGTAGTCTTTTTTCTTAGCTTGACGGGCAAAACCACCAAACTCAGACCTAGAAAGAGAGGCTTCCTGCAAACAGACGACGTCAGCATCAAAGAAGTCCTCAGCCAAAGCTCTCCAGCAACCTGGGGCCCCACCCACGTTGAGTGAGAGGATGCTGATGCCACACAAACTTGCCTGTGCATGAGGCCCAGGGTTCTTAGCTTCGCCAATTCTGTAGTGAGGCCGGCCATAGACCGGCCTAGACCGTCAAGAGAGCAGCTTGCTGATCTCTTCTTCAGTCCAACCAGTTTTTTCGAGAAGCAACTGCTTGTGCTCAGGATCTTCCTTGCAGAGACGCTTCCACCAAGCAGCTTTCATGTGCTTGGCAGTGAGGCAGGAAGAGAGTTTGGCCAGTCGTTCCTTGCAAGGGACCTTAAGGAACTTGGGGCTTCTACGTTGCAAGTGCGCCAAGCAGTTTCTACAATACACATAGCTGCCTCTGTTGTTGTCCCACTTAGGTTTCGGGAGGAGGATTCTCACATGATCATCCTTTTCATCTTTTCCTTTCTTAGTTCTGGCCGCGGCAAGTCGCTCGGTGAGCTTAGCTTTCATGCTCGCAGGCTTTTTCCAGCCTTTCAGGCGTTTGTGATGCAGGGAGCTGGGGGTCTCCTCAGGGTGCTCATCTTTGCAATGTTGTGCAATAGCACAAAGCCTGTCAAAAGTGGACATGGCCGGAAGGCCTTTTTGACAAATAGGACAGCTCCATCCTCTCGCTTCCTGTGGGAGCTCACTGCTCGGAGTAGCAGGGAGTTTCTTTTTGGAAGGAAAGACCTGGTTGAGAGGGATTTCAGGATGCCTGCTTTTCATATGGTGCTTTTTGGAAGAAGAAAGGCTGGCAGAACTGCAGCAACTAAGCACAGCGCCACAAACAAAGCATGGCCATTCCCACTTGTCGAGGGGCCGAGGGGCCTCCTCTTGTTGGGCTTGCGGGGTTTTCTTGCCGTGGATACGGTACTTCTTGGGGATGAGATTGTCAAGGTCGCCAGCAATAGTTTCAGAGTAGCAAACTTGAGGGGGCTCTTTACGCTTTTTAAGCAAAGCTTGACCAAGCGCTTTTCTAACACTACTAAGCCCGGGACGGTCTTTGCATTCCTGAGCTTCTGAGGCACAGGCGGACTTTACGCGGACACTAAGCCCATGACCAGCCGACACTGCGCTGGGGAACGCAAGACTACGGAGAGAAGGCGTAGCATCCCCTGCTAGATGCTCAATACCTTCAGGAGCCTCAGTGTTCCTGACAAGTTGGGCATCACAACTTGGCTTGACAGCAGTCTGAGCGGTGAAAGCAGCGGATGCCCTGCTACTCGCCGACTTCTTGCGCAGAGCGGCGCAGCTACGAGGCTTAGTGTCGCTAGCGCATTCAGTGACAGCGTGGCCAGCAGTGTGGACTGACGGTGTGCAGCTGCCTTTCAAAGAATGCAGAGACGGAGTGGCCTCTCCGCTTCTGGGGGCGGCACCTTGAAGTATGCGCCTTTCGGGGATGATGGACTCGCGAAGCCAGCTCCTTTTGGCTACTTTGACATCCAAATCCTCAGGCGGTTTAAGCCAAGTGAAGTGCTCGTTTTTTAACAGCAAAGTGATGGGCTGAAGCTTGCGGGCAATTTTAGCGTATCCTCCAGAAAAATCAGGGGCTATCGTGGCACGTTTCCAGTGTTTGCCTTCTTGGTTGAAATACCACACAACAATAGGTTGGCCATATCTAACAGCGCAGGCTAAAAGCACGAGGCCGTCGGCCCAAGCTTGAGGGGATTCCATTTGCGTGAGCCACGTGCCGAAGTTGTTCTTAGCAACCTCAGGTTGAACAGCAGGGCTTTCGGGGGAGATGGGCTTATCCGGGGCAAAGTTGGGCAGGTATCTGTCAATATGTCTCCTCAAGTGCGAGATGGCATCAACACGAACCATAGCCCCTTTGTTTTTGCTTTCAGTTTCAGTGAGCAGCTTGTTGTTGGCAGCGTACTCCCTGGCAGCAGCGATAGAGCGGAAGGCGCAGTCTCCATTGCCTTTTTGATTGACCTCGACCCATCCCTCTCTCATAGCCTGTGCAACTTCATCAGCTTCAGGGAAGGCGGGACTGGTGTCGTTAGCAGCGTCAGTGCCAGCTTCACGAGTTTGACCAGCTTCACCCTCTAAGAGGCTGGTCTCCTCGTCAACATTCATGACATCTTCTTTGTTTTCGCTTGGCTTGCTTTTGGTATCATTCAGGAAGAACTTTTTCGGAGGACCCCTGACCTCGACAATTTCAGAGGCTTTAGGGCCTTTAGGGGGGGCTTTGGAGACATGGATATGCAAACGAGGGTCATCCTTGTCACAGTACTGCCAAACCACAGAAGTGGCTGAGTCAGCGCCACCCAGCGGAGGAAAGCCTTTGAAAATCCAGCGAATATCTTTCTTTCCATGTCTTTTCCTAGCAATGCAAAAGACCTCCTTCCAACCCTGAGCCTCAAAGAACCCGGTGACTTCGGAGCCTTCCCAGGATTTGGGGATGCCTTGAGCTTGGACCGTCAGGGCACGGGGTTCAGGGGTGCCATCAACAACGAAACCAAGGTCGCTACCCTTGCCGATACGGTACTTGAGGCCTTGACCTTTAGCGGCTGCAGCAGCAGCAGCAGCACGAAAGTAAGTTTCGTCGTCTGAATCTTTTTTGGGGACCCAGTGCACGATTTCTTCAGGCCTGTCAGTGACATTAGTCAAGGTAATCATGATGCCCCGTTCTCCACTTTTACGTACAAGAGCATCGGCCAACTTTTGCGTCACTCTGAGGTGTCCAACCAACTGATGGCCATCCTTAGTGGTCGACCATCTCCAGCTGCCGCCGGTGAGCTGGGATATCTGGCATATTTTCCACTTCCCGATTTCAGCTAACACGTCTTTCACTTGGTCCCAACCGTCTTCGTTTCGGAATAGGACTCGGTAGTGATATGGAGCTGAGATACGGACGGTGACCTTAGCAGGCGGCGCAAACTTGGCTACCTCAACTTTTGAGGCCTGTCTAGCCCACGGCGCCGCGTGTGTATCTCCCAGGACAATGACTGTTACGTCTTGAACCACGACGGGACCTGCACCACGTTTGACACTGACCTTGGTATTGTAACCGCCTAAGGCCTTGCAGTCAGCAACTAGGAGCAGAACAGTCAGAGGGTCATACCTGGAAGCGGCATTCCACAGGGCTTTCAACTCCTGTGCTTCAGCTTCAGACTTGACGACAACGACGTTTCCGTCGATCTCACCTCCCTCTTGCACAGCTTTGGTAACTGTTGCTTTTGAGATGAGTTTGATTGCCTTGGTCCATTCACTGGCATTGAGGCTAATCGGGCCAGTCGCAGAGCCGGCCGCAGGGCTTCCTGCGTGGTTTTGTTTCTGTTGTTGAGGGCCTCCGGAGTCCTTTGGAGCAACGCTGGTGATTTTTTGGGGAACTTGGGTTTCGGGGCCAACAGTTTCAGCTCTAGCATTAGATTTCAAAAGAGTGTCCTGCACTCTTTTAACAACAACTTCATCCGAAGCGTTTTGCTGGGCAAGCTTACCAAGGAGGGTTTGAAGTTGAGCGATCAACGACTCTTCTTTCTGTTGGGATTTTGACTTCTTGGCAGGAGGCTGAACGGCTGAGGGGGCCTTAGTTTTATTCTGCCAGTGAGCCAGAAACTCCAGCAGGGCGCTAGAAAGGGAAGGTTCTTCGCTTCCCTCCTGTGTGTCCTGCAGGTTTTCTTCTCTCTCTTCTCTCTCTCTTCTCTTCCTACGCGTAGCCGCTGAAGTGCCTCCAGCAAGCTGTGATGACAACTGGGCCAAGGCATTCATGAAATCAGCATTGCTTTCAAAGTGGAAAGAAGAAGGAGGAGCAGCTTTCGCGCCACTGGAACAGAGGCGTCGGAGAACAAGACAGCTTTGTTGGATGGCTGCGGTGTCTCGGGCTGAGGCAGTTCGAAGCGGCGAACTCCTCCAGCAGCATCCCAGTCCTCTAGCACCACGCAGGCCTGAGACTCGTAGGGCCCCGACCTTCCTGCAAGGTAAAAGGCATGAGCTGTAGACGACAACACGCAACCAAGCTTGTTTGTACGGCCCTTGGGGGGACCGGGGTTTCCTGCAATGACGGCGCACAGTGTCGCCTTGCACACTTGTCTCAGGATCCACCACTACAGGTGAAGCCGAAACGTGAGTATCTGTGGTCATAGACCGTTGGTGTATGACAAACGCTCTCCAAGAGGCAAGTGCCAGCAAGAGGCGAAAGAACTCACCACAACAGCCTAGAAACAACCACAGCGAAAGAGGTCCAATCCTCTTTTGAAGCCCGTGCATGAGCTGCGCAGGCTGACCACAAAACAGTGCGGAAAGCATCTTGTCAAGGTTAGGTACAGCAAGACCAAAAAGCGTCACAGAAGCGCAACCTTTCACCCTAAAAGGCCAAGCATCCGTGCTCCCTGGCTTGTTCTTCACATCTTTATCCGCAACCTCGCTCGCCGCAAGGTTCACCGCATTCTCTTCATTGATCATTTTCGCAGCCCATGGCATCCATGTGCTATCAAAGGAACTAACTACGGGGGGCCCAGTAGGGCCGGTGCATGTGCGAAGACACGACATGTTATGCATGTGAGCAGTGGCACCAGGCAAGCAAAGCAACAGCAGCAGCAAATGCAACCACCTAGAAGAGTAGTACATCGGCTGCCCCCGGCCGGCCGCTCTTGGATTCAGAATTTCTTCTTGCATCTTTTTCTGAGCAGTAGCTCGAGGAATACGAATTTTTTCTTGCATCTTTTCTTTGATTTCCACATCAGTGGTTGGCGGCTGACAGAACTTAGTGAAGGTCACACAGCACCGACAGCATCTAATTAGAGAAGATCTCATCATGGGGTCTTTGTTTGTTTCTTGTGTACTCTTCGTCAAACAATGCTTAGATTGCTTGTCCGCGGCCACCACGAGGAGGTAGTACACAAGGACGCTCGTGATGTACACGACGAAAAAAATCACGTACACATGGCTCACCTTGTCCATAACGGGCCTTGCGTTTGTAGGCCAATTGCCGGCAAAAGTGACCTGGCTGCGCGGCGCCGGAAGTTGCCGTGGTGGTACCCTGGCGCGTCCAGAAAGAAGGACTTGGAGTTTCCACCACCTTAGCTCCGCCTGCCTTCACCGAAGCAAAGGCAGACGTGAGAAGCTCCTCAGTCAGGGGGCTCCTCACTGCCCGCACGCCGCGGGAAGTAAGAAGCCCAAGCAGGGTTGGACCGGCGAGAGCCCCATTCGGCATTCCGGATACTGCCCATCTGAGCGATCCGATCCGCATCACGAGCATCCGTCCTCACCCCCCACCCCAGGCGCTGAGCAAGAAGGGAGGAAGGACAAGGCAAACCGCGCAAAGGAGAAAAGAAAGAGCAACTCCAAAAGACATGACAGAGGGAAGGACCCGTAGCCTCCCCGCAAGCATGACAGACATGGAAGATGGGCCCGGAAGGAGTCCATTTCGCATCAGTCGAAGCACCGCCACACATCACAGCGATGCCGTCCCCCGTTTGATTCTGGGCCAAGGCGCGAAGCCGACGCACTAAGGTCGGTCCGACCCGAAGCCCCGCAGCACGAGCAACCGCGCTGTCACGACGCGTCCTATGGGCAAGCCAAGCCTTCAGCTCCAAGACCCGCCAAGAGTCCCGAAGCAAGTGGGCGGCCTTATCCTGGAGGGCCCGGGAGGCCCTGACGTCCCAAACCCGATAGGCATCGTCCCCGAACACGCCCCAACGACGAGCACGAAGCGCCCAGCCAAAGCGAGAGAACTCCTTAGCGATGGCACTACCCAACGGGGTGCGCTCCAAGCGAACCTGCGTGGGGTCCGAGCCATGTTGGACCTTAAGAGCAGCCCATCTGCTCAGTGCACCAACGGTGCTCTGCAAAGACATGAGACTGAGGTCGGAGCGGTGACTCAACAACAGAACTCTCTGAAGCTCTCTGCTAGACCTATCGCCCCCAGCGCCCCGTGGAATCACAGCCAACCGAAAGTCAGCAGCAAAGCGCGAGCGAACCTTCTGCGTAAGAGGCAAGCCCCCAATCACGGCCCCCCAAGCGGCCTTAGGAGCGAATGTGATGGCAGCCAAGAAAGCCTTGGTTTTCAGAGACAGCGGGAGATGAGCCAATCTCCTTGCCAGAAGGCCCGCCTTAGCACAACGAGCCTCTTCCTCAGCAGAGCGCTGGCGATGCGGGATGCCAACCGTGACCCCCAACATTTCAGCCGACTCAGCGACTTGCACTCCATGCTTACGGCACTCATTCAAAGCCCTGCGAGAGCGAACGAAGAACTGAGTTTTGTCATGGTTGGTGCGAAGCCGAGTGACCTCCTCAAGAGATCGCCAGCAGTCCACAGCCCTAAGCAAAGCATCTCTAGTTTTGGCAACAACAGACCTATCGTCCACGTACAACAGAGAATCTGCGTCGGGAACCTGAGATCGCACCTGCATGGCGGGGAGAGAGAGGAGGAGGGCCAAGACCACGGGGGCCCAGGGGTCACCCTGGGGTATACCCTTGCATCCCTTCAGCGGAGTTCGATGCACCGCCCCGCCAAACGAGAGCCAACGGAGATGGTTACGCCACTGATACTCGATGAGTGCAACAATGGCCTCAGGCATGTGAATGCGGCGGAGCAAAGAAACACACAGGCTCCAGTCCGTGCTATCAAAGGCCTTGCTATAGTCAAGCATGACCCCATACTCCCACACGTCTTGGGGAAAGTCCAGATGCAGAGAGAGCACAAGAGTTTGAGCATCCTGCCCACGAACCCCGCCCCCTTGAGTGTGGAGGAGACACGTGGAGAGAGCATCCCGGACGGCCTGCAGGCGAAGTCTCGCCCACAGCCGGTAAACTATGGGGCCGACAGCAACCGGGCGAACATCGCCCAACGAGGCAATTTTGCCCTGCCTTTTCTTGGGCAGGAAGGCGATTTTCCAATGCAGCATGTCATCAGGAAACCGGCCCTCCCTTTCGCATAAGTTCAGAAGGTCGGCCAGCCGAGTAAGAGCCTCATCTGGGAGGCCTCGTCCTGGCCCGTCGTGTCGGTCGTACACCCAAAGGTGCGGCCCCAGAAGTCAGCAAGAGCCGGCAGGGCCGTGGCAGGCTGCGTGAGAACTTCCCCCCCCTCATCGGCTAAGAGAAGCGGGGTTGCCTCTTCCCGCCGCAACCAGCGACACGCGCCGCGGGTGGTGTGGATGTCTTGGTACCATTTCTCAAGGGCTTTCTTCTGTTTGCCCTGAAGCAAGCCTTGGAGGCGTTGATTGGCTAAAGACAGAGCGAGCCCGTATCGCTGCCCGTGAACAGCCGCACTCTCAGCAGGGGCCAAGGCGGAGCGCAGGAGAGCGCTGCGCAAAGTGTCCGGAACGAATCTGCCTCGGAACTGTAAGCATCTGGCCTCCTGAAGCCTACGGATGGCCCTGCGAAGCTTGCGCTCCTCACACCCTTCCCTGCACGCAACTTTATGGTTACCAGTTCTGAGCGATGGGCGGGAACCAAGTGGCCTTTCAGAAGTGGAATTGTCAACGACCTCAGATGCACCGAGCCATGTCTCAGCGTCCTTGCACCATTGAGTCCACGCCTGATCGACATTTTGCAAAGAGGCAGTCCACGCTTCTGCATCGCATGCAACTTCTGTCCAACTGGGGGCGTTGCCAGGCCCACACTCCGACGCCGTGTTGGCAGTGCGTGAGAGTCTCCACTCCGTGCCCACCGCAGGAACCCGGAAGCAGAAAGAGGCCTGGGCAATGGAATGATCACCACCCCCCGCCTGGCGCTCGGCAGAGCTACCGATGACCACAGGAGAATTCTCGGATGACCAGATGCCATCAATGGGAACTGAACCCCGATTGTGGCGAGCGACCGCCCTGAGAATGCCCCCGCTCAAAGCCATGGCCGAGGCCCAGTGACCGGAGGTCATGGAAACGTTGCCGTCCAAGCCCAAGATCCAGGGCGCACCCTGCAAGGCTTCAACCCTGTGGGTAAGAGAGTGAAGAGCATCAGGAGAGGCATTCGGTACACTGTAGTGAGCAAACACGTGAATGTTCCCTTGAATGCCAAGCAACTGAGCAGACAGAGTCTGAGACTGAGCCGAGAGAAACCTATCGTGTTCCAAGAGCCCAAGGGGTTTCCTGGCCAGAATGGCCACCCCACCCTTCCTGGAGGAGGGCGCGGGGACAACCAACATTTGCCATCCCTGCCGTTGAGCCCAATGAGAGGCTCCCGTGACCCCGCAAGGAGTAAGGTTGACTTCTTGAAAGATGAGCAGATGAACCCCGTCCCGAGAGGCCTGTGCAAGAAGAGCATCAGCGTGTCTATGCCAACAAGACATGTTATGAGACTGCACAACCAGCTGCTGCCGATCAGGGCAGAGAGGCTTAGGTCCTGGGTGGGTCGCTTCGCCCACGCGAACGGCTCTGAGGCCGCGACGGGCAGGGGAGGTCCCCTGCGCAACCTGACTGAGGAAGCCGCCACCTGGCCCTAGTCACAGGCTGTCGTCCCGACGCCGCTTCTTAAGGGCACGGATGTCCTTGACAGCGGCTTTTCCAGCCTTGCGGCAGTCTTTCCAGATGGCCTTTCTTCGACTAAGCTCCGGTGCCCGGCCACGATTCTGAGAGCAAACGCTAGTGATAAGAGCATCGCGGGATAAAAGAACCTTGCACGCACGGCACTCATGGTAGGGTCGGCACCACATGTGTCCGCTGGGGCGCTGGTACTCCCTCCACGTGTGAACTTCACAAGCAATGTCATGACTTCCCTTCCATCGCTTAGCCTGGTAGAGCTGCCAAACAGCCTTCCAGCGGGCTTCGTAGGATTCAGAGGCCTCATTCACTCGATTGGGAACCGTGGCCTTGTTGCTCAGGCCTTTCTTAAGGCAAGGCGGTTTGGCGATGCCGTGAACTTGCTTGAGATGTCGAACGCGAGCCCGATACATGCGATTGGGATCCTGAGGAAAATCAGCAAACTTGATTTCATACTCACACAGGTTGCAAGGCCACCACACACGAGTGTCGAGGGCGTCAGCCTTGTACACCGGCAACCCACCCATTGCCTGCGGAGGATGGGAAGAGCCAGCCGAGTTGCTGTTGCTGTCCTGTTTCGCGCGCCTGTGCTTGACACGCTCAAGAGCAGCCTGCCGCTTCTCCGCCCCATTCCGGCGACGCTTTGTGTGGGGTTTAGCGCCCCGCTGACGTTGGAGTCTGGGTATGGCCTGTCGGGACATGCCATGCACCCTCATGAGGTGAGCAACGCGCGCCTCATGATGGCCTCGAACCAGGCCATGCCGCCACACCGAGAACCCGCACCCCGGAACATCGCATTTCCAGAAGAGGACCCGAGAGTCAGAGGGCCCGAGAGTGGGAGCCGAAGAGGGCCTGCTGGGGTTCTGTTTGAAGAGAAGTCTTTTTCGAGGACCTTTCTGCACAGCTTGCTGGGCCACGGCGGGAGCATGAGCAGGTAAGTCGCTATTCATGAAAGTCAGATTCATGACGGAAGAGGCATTCTCCAAGCCCGAGTCACACGCTGGTTTCTGGGCAGAGGCCGGCACCACCGAATCTTGCGCCTGAGCACAATGTAAGGCCCGAGCAGTGCTGGGTCTAGAGGCCTGATGTTCCAGACCAGCCCCGGGCCGGTGCCGAAGAGAGGAACCGGATTCCTCCGCGTACCTAGGTGTACTCACAGGCAAACTGAGGTAGCCCACGCCCCCCTGTCGCGAGGGAGTTGCTGAGGGCAGAGACAGAGCTCCTGTTTCGCCCTTGTTCCTTGGCAGGGTGGCTGAGGGGAGAGTGAGATGGCCGGAAGCACGACTCTTTCCCGCGCCACGGAGTTCCTTGGGAGGTCTCGGGCTAGTGACCTGAAGCCACGCCTGGGGGCATTTGATGGGACCTAGCAACGAGCGATAGTGGTTGTCTTTCAGAACCAGAACTATGGGCTCAGGAGCCTTTTTCGCCTTACCAGCAAAGCCTTGGTGTTCAAAGGGGGCGAGCACACAGCGCTGCCACGTGCGCTGTTGAGGAACCCAAAGCCAGATAATTATGGGGGCGCCCAGCCTTTCTGAGAGAGCAGCCAGGGAGAACCCACAGGCATACGTCTCGCGTTTAGCGAGAAGCCGCAGAAAGGCCTCGAAGTCAGCGGGGGGAACCTCCCCAGCCCAGTACTGCTTCTCGTGCTGAGTCCACTCCTCAACAGCCAGCGTCTCTTCAGACGGGGCGGTATCAGGCGCCCACACATTCTGAAAGCGAGCTCTGTGCTTGGTTAAGTGAGCGACCGTCAGGAGTCGCAAAGTAGCAGCTTCACGAATGATTTCGTCATGAGAAAGTTGCTTGTCTTTCTGGTGGGCGACGCACGAAGCGACTGACCTAAAGGCACAATCGCCACATCCTCCGCTGTCGTGGATCGAAAATCCCTCGACATGAAGAGAATGAAGCAACATATCATCTAGATCAACAGGTTTGGCAGGAAGAGACGTTTTGGGAGCCTTGTGCCTACCACCCTTAGGGCTACGAGACCGAGCGTTCCCTCCCTCCTCGTCCGACCCTGCCGGAGCCGCATCATCAGATTCCGATTCCGATGGCACATCGACAAGCGTGGGAGGGACAGTGTCCGACTGTCCCTTCCTTCTTTTGTTGACAGGTTCGACCCACAGCTTCTTAGGCCCAAGCACCACTTCGGCCTCAACCACAGGTTTGGAGCGGGGGGCCTCGGGCAAGATGGAGATACAAGTACCTTGGTCGAAGTCTTCATAGCAGTATGGACCTGCGGTGTCAGGCGGAGCCAGAGCTTTGACAATCCATACGGCCTTTGCGCGACCTTTGGGCTTTCTACGAGTAATGACCTCAGGCATTTGCCAGTTGGCGTTCAAGAAGAAGGCGACAACGTCCTCCTGGCACCACCCACGTGGAACGTCACAGGCCTCCCACACCCGAGGCCTTTGCACTTTGGGAAAAGTGTTTTCATCCCCATCCGTGATGCCAAGGTCCTCTTTTCCGCCCATTCTGAATGACAGAGTTTTGGACTGTCGCTCGGCCTCAGCAGTGGCATAGCGAAAGTACTCCTCATTGCCCGTGTTGTTCGGGCGAGGGACCCAGACAACCCGAGCACGTTCTTCGGTTTTGACCAGGATCAAAGAGAAGATCCCACGCCTACCACTCACCTTAGTGACCTTAGTGGCCGTTTCCTCAGGAAGCCTGAGGTGGGCCGTGAGCACCGGCCCTTCTTTGTCATGAGACAGCTGCCAGCGGCCCCCAGTGAGGGCGGAAGCCTTGCATCCAATCAGTTTGGTCAATTCCCCGACAACGATCTGGGGGTTGTCCGAAGTGTCGCGATCCAGAAAAACCCTTCTGTAAGCGGCCGGGGCGGTGACACGAAGCGTGCACATTCTGGGACCTTTGGGGGATCTGAACTGGATGGAGATGGGGGCTCGAATATCAGGACTCACAGCCTTGGTCATCTGACTGACTTGAAGCTTGACTCGAGAGGGCTTCACCGAGGCCTCCTTACCCCTATTCCACCAGACAGAAACCGTAGGAAGCAACTTGGCAGCGTCGGTGACGCAAGCAAAGGCCAGTGGGCATTCAACGCTGAAAGCATCAACCAGCGCCTGAACCTCAGACTTAACTTCGGAATCCCTGCAAACAATCACATTTCCCGGAATCTCCGTACCCTCCGTGAGGGCGCGTCTGAGTTGTCCAACCGAAAGCAGACGGACCTCCGAGTCCCATTCGGAAGGAAGCACCCGAGCAGCAAATTTGCCTTCAGAAGTTTGGAGAGGAGGAGGAGGACCCGGCCCAGGTTTGGGTTTAGGAGCCTGTTTGGGGGTAGCCTGCAGGAGAGGCGCTCCAGGAGGACCAGCGGGGACCCCTTCACGCATTCCCTTGCCTTTCCCTTTCCCTTTGTCCGCCTCCTTCCCTTCCCGACCCTTGCCTTTCTCAGTACGCGGAGCGTGAACAGCATGGGTGATTCCCGAAGACCCCTCCTGAGGAGGGGGAGCCTCCAGCGAAGCTCCAACCCATGGCTGGAGCTTTTGGAGCAGCCTGTCAGCCAGCTTGTCATCCGGCCATTGAGCATCGATGGCCGACTGAATCACCTGCGTGAGACGATTAGCCAGCGAAGGCGACCGATTGTCCTGACCCTTCCCCTTTCCCTTGTTTTCATGCCCCGAGAATTCGGTGCCAGGAGAAGCCCAGGAGGAACATCGATCCTGCTTGGAAGAGCGAAAAGACTGCAGGACCTGCAGAAGAGAGTGAGCCAGACTCTGGTCGTCAGAAGAGCCCAGAGCCTCCTTTCGTTTGTTTTCAGTCACATGGGAGCCTGCAGGACCCGGGTGGGCAGCTTCTCCTATGCGAACACCGCGAAGCGGATTAAAGTCACCGGCTCGAACCCAGCAAGAGGCAGCAAGACTGTCATGGTGGGTGGCGGTGCATATCAGACACATCAACAAAAGCGCAAAGGAAGCTGAGCGCCTTTGAACCCGAGGGCGCCGCGATGCCAGCTGAGGCCTGAGCGCGTCGCCTCCAAGTGGCTCCGGGCCAGTTTTCAGAAACTGAGCCGCGATCCCTTCCTCAAGACCAACGTGATTCTGAGAAACGGGCATCCTTGCCTGAGGAGCAACAAGCGCAGTCCGAGGGCCAGACTGCAGTCTTCGCTGCATTCCGGCCCAAGCCGAGGCTTGCGTCTCAGAGCATCCTTTACCCCGCAGTCGGAGGCCCTGGAAGTGACGACCCCATCGCCACTGCTTGTCCCGAAAACCAGTTCGAGGTTTCTTAGCCCGAAAACGGTACCCGCCCCCGCAATGCACGAAGCGACAACTTTCGGCAAAGACAAGAAAGTCGGAGGCACGCGGCAGAGGTTTCCGAGGAGTCTTCTTTTTGCGAATTTTCAGCCTTTGAAATCGAGACATACACGCCCACTCAGGCAACTCCCCAGGGGAGGTTCTGTCACGACGCAGAGTGAGGAAGGTTAACGCCCACCCCACACAACAAGAGACGGTAAGAGACACTACAGCCCAAGCCGCCTCCATTGACTGAGCCATTAGGCACAACTCCTCAAACGAGCAATCCCAAGAGGAGCTGTTCTGACTCACATTGTACCGCATAGAGTAGGTGGAAAAAGCCACAACCCTTTGAGTGCCAAACGCCTCTGGGACAGGCACTTCTGGAACACACAGCACAGGAAAGCCCGCGCCAGGAACTAGTTGCAAGCAAGCCCCGCTTGTGAGAACTTGCCGAGGTGAATTGCATTCTCGCCCATTCCGTACCGCGGCCATGGCGGCATCGAGACAAGGGGAGGAAACGTTGGTGGGGGGCCCCGGGGGCCACGGTTTAATTGCATCCAAGTCGCAAAAAGGGTCATTAGGGTGGGACAAAAAGGGAGAACCCTCCACCCCGCTAACCGAACCAAAGAACCAAAGAACCAGGAGAAGGGGGTTCCCCCGTCTCGCGAAGTGATACTTCGCCTGATCTTTTCTTCTTTTTGAAGCCTCCATTGAGGTCTGCATCTTTTCTTGAAGTCTCTTTTCCGAGATCTTAGTTTCAGTCTTCTCTGAGTAATCACCATTGTGATTTCGAGACTTTCTTCGCACCCAAGACTCAAGTGGCCAACGCAGTCTTGGGCCCGCTCCCGTCGTGCCATTCAGGCTGGAGACGAAGTCGTGGGAGCTGACCTGGCTGCGCGCACAAAGTTTCCAGGCTGCACGACAACATGTACTTCTGCGGAAAGAGAAGCGACAGTGCATTCGCCATGTCTTTACACTGTCAGCAGCCCTTTTCTTTTGCTGCTTCATATTCCGAAGAGAAAGTTCAGCAGAGTCCAACGATCAAGATGGTACGTTTCGGCGACGCGTTTTCTTGTTTACATTTGCTTACAAATGCTACAGTAGCGGACGCGGAAGCGATGTAAGGTAAGGGCCAAGATGGGCTTCATGCGAACTTCATGCCTCATGTGTGTCGATGGAGCACCTTCTTCTGCTTCACCGCGGGAAGCAGCAAGCCGCCGCAAGTCCCACGGCAAAAGCCCACTAAACAAACCCTGAAATAAGCGCACGCACGCACACATACATACATATGACTTCAGAAGACTCGCCTGGCAGTCAAAGCATGTTGTCGGGTGGTCTAACAGAGCAATGCCGCTTGGAGAACTCTAAACGTGCGATGGCTCAGCGCCCACACATGTCCACGCCATGACATCATGAGTCTGGACCAGCAGTCGCCTCCATTGTCCAACATGTTGTAGGTTGTGTCGGACAGCATCCGGCCAACCCCGTGGAAAGGGGGCAGCACAAGGGGTGCTTCATCCGCGAGTTGCAGATGGAATTGCTTCTCAATGTCAATGTCAAAAGACTTCGGGTACTTCGATGAGACCTTTGCACTTGAGCGCAGTCCCAAGCTGGGTGGCAACAAACACCCCCACAGGGGGTTAATTGTACCAGTTGGAAAGACATGCATGCCGAAAGTGCCATGCCTGCCACACAAAACAAAGTTCCGATCACGTTTTTGGGTTTTGTCGTGTGTGGTTTGGAATCCCTGAAAACCGGAGCTTTGGACACGTTAGTCGCGCACGCTCCCTTTTCGAGGCTAGGTGCTTGGAAGGGGCATGTCGAAAGTAGCACAATTGATATGCTGAGTGTGCCATGCCTGCCACACGAAGCAGGGTTCGGGTCAGCTTTTTGCTGGGTCCATTTTTACCGTTTAGGGTTTGGAAACGCTAAACACTCGAGTATTGGATGTTTTTGTCGAGTAGGCACGGGGGATGCTCCGGTGAACCGATGGATTGGTAGCGTGGACTTTAGCCTCGTGCGCGCATGGATGAGCATGCAGTCGTGCAGTCATGGGTTCTCTGGCCAATGGATGCACTAGTGATGCACTGGTAGCACGGACACTATTGAATTATCATGCGGGCATGGAAGCTCTGGCCAATGGAGGCGCTGTTGGCATGGATGTTATCTTCGTGCAGGCATGTGTGCTCTGCCCAATGGATGCGCTGGTAGCATGGATGCTATCATCGTGCGGGCATGGATGATCTGGCTAATGGATGCAGTGCATGGTAGCATGGATGTTATTGGGCGGGCATGGATGCTCTGGCCAACGGACGCGCAGGTAGCATGGACGTGATCCGTTCATTGTCATCGTATGGGCCTTGATGCTGTGGCCAATGGATGCATTGGCAGGATGTTTTAGCCAATGAAGGCATTGGTAGCATGGCACGATCATCGTGCGGGCTGCGCTGGTAGCACGGAAATTCTCATAGCACGTGCATGGATGCTCTGGCAAGTGGATGCATCACCATCGTGCGGGCATGGACGCTCTGGCCAATGAATGTTTCAGCGGCGAAAGGCCAGTGATTGTCCTCTTGCCGCACTTGACATTTCAGTTGTAGCTGACGTGCTTCTGGTCGGGCGATGAATGTAGCGCTTGGTCTGTGCTTCCTCGAACTTCAGTCCCTGCTTTAACATCCACATTTGCTTTTGGGTGCATTGCAGACCAAGTTACAGTACAATGCGCCGCGCCTCTGCTTCACAGATATGAGACCCCACAAGCAAATCCGCTGTTCGACACACTAGCGCACGCTCGGGCAAGGCTCCGGTAGTCATCTCTGCACATGCTACAACACGTTAGAAGTGGCCACAACATGCTGCACCGGCGCCGCCCGTAACCCATAATCCCATCGACCACTAAGACCCCACACAGGGCACGGCGACAATGACGAGTGAGTGTGCCTAGCCCCGCATTGGGACTAGGTACGAAGCCCCCTGGTCTCGGCCACACCAAATCAGGCTAGACAACAGTTTACACTGTTGGGGAATTCATTGGTATGGACCCCGAGCATGCCAAAGCGCTGTCCCGAAACAAGCGGCATTCTGAAATTCGCTGATCCAACACGATGTCTGACAACGAAACCTTCTGCGTCGCTCAGCGCTCATGACTCTGAACAAGCAGGTGCACAACGATCATGTACACAGCACGCCTGCCCGTTCACTCATGGGTAGGTATCGCCACGAACTTGGCGCGGGTGTTGCATGCGACAAATTCCTCCATGAAATTGGCAAAGTGTTTGCAGGCGAGGAGTTCCATCACCACGATATTTGCGAGGGCCTGGCATACGCAAGCGAGGCTCTTGCAAGGGCTTTAATTGCAGCACGACCGCGGTACTGGGATATTGGTGTGAGCGTTTCGCAGCCACGGAATTCCAAGTCTTGCATGGTCTTGCAGCGGCAGAATGACGTTCACGATGTTTGCGAGGGTGTTGCAGCTGCAGAAACCCATCATCACGATACTAAGGCGTTGCAACTATAATGGACGGTCACCACGATGGGTGACGACTTCCGTCATCCTTGCGAGGTTGCGAGCGGCGACTTCCATCACCATACGGTTGAGGATTTTACGTAGGCCAGCTTGATGGTTTAACTGTTTAACTGTTACACGCGAGTATGGTGGCCACGGAACTCTCCGGTCACATTTTGTCACCGCCATGCTTGCGATTGACTGCGGAAATCCGCACCACGAGAGCCATTTGGCGAGGTTACTGATGCGCAGCGAACGCCACCACGATACGCGCGAGCTCGTGATGTGCTGCGGCATTCTTTGGGCTGGGCTCTCTGAGGTGGGAGACCCAAATCACCAAAGTTAAAATCCGTTGTAGACTGTCCTCTCACACCCCTCTCAAGCAGGTACTTTCCTCGATTTTCAGGCTGTCTTGCACATCACTGAACTTTTCAAGTTTACACCGCTCCCCACGCTTCATCCCACACTTCATTAGACATCCGAATGCGCCTCATAGAGCGTGTATGTTGCACGGTAGGCAGTGCCATAATGCGACCAAACCCAGCGTCGATCTTCGAGGTTCGCCTCCGTAGTTGAAGGTTGGATGCACCAGCAACTAGGACAAGGCAAAGTGATTTTCAGGCTTGGTTACCCATCACCACTGAAAGGCAGAGAAACACTCATACACATTACAATCTGACGGGCAGTCACGACAAAGCGGCAGCTTTCAGGTCCGAACATAGCTGAACCGTTGAAGCTCACACCCCACTACAATCCCCAAAGCGCGCTTACTGCACACGTGTGTTGTTTTTACATGTTTTTACCATTACCAACTTTGTGCTACTGACATGTAAAAAACATTACCGAAGCTGTGAAGAATGAATGCTACACACCTCCTGGTTCTCGACGAAAAGGAGGAGGAGGTTCCCCAGCACCAGGGCGCCCATCGACATGAATACGGCCAACAGCACCATGGACCAACCTCGCAGGGGTGTTGGGGACATAGGGGAGCCGGGCCACTCGTATACATCTGACAGTCTGGCAGAGGAGGCTGACTCGTACAGAACTTTACAGAACAGAATGCCTGCAATTCCGACTGCTCGACTTTTTTCGGATGCCGTAGGACAGTAGGACATACTCTTGATGTAAAATCAACGAGTGCTTGCCGCCAAGGTCTGCGACCCTGATGGATGCAACAAGGCAACGCGCCTGAACACTCCAAATGCCCCTTTTATCAAACCAGTAAAGAGAAGGTTTCAGGCCCACCATATACGGGATTCCGCCTTTGTATTCCAAACCATGCTGCAGTGGTAAACCCTTATTAGCCCCAAAAAGGGCCTAGCGAAACATGCCTCTGCAAGACACGCTTGTGGTTTTGGGATGGTGGCCTTTATTTTGCAGGGTTGCAAGCACCGAGGAAATTTCTGGGCCAAGAAGCAGAGCGAAGGTAAGAAACAATGAATAGCCTGGACCAGCAGGCGTAGGCCTCGGACGAACCTGGCCAAGGGCAGACAACCTTCAACAGAGTTAGGAACTCATGGAACTCGAAGTTCGAGATGTGCCTGAGGAATGTCTGCAAGTTCTGCCCGTTGACTTCCAACATATCAGCGCAACTCGAGCCAATGCTTGGTCTTGTTGAATTGCCGCCTGAATGTTCGCATCAGTCGAATTGCTCGAACGCATTTCAACGTCCTGAGCGGCTCTTGACATGGCTCCAATATGCTCGAATGTCCAAAGCAAGCTGGCCGGAGAAGAACTCTTTGAACTACAGCTCGACATATCTCTGTCTCGAAAGCCTGAAGCACACTCTACCTTGCGACAGTCATGGTCCGGTCCTCACAACGCGCAGAGCGCTGGTATTCGGGTGGTTGGCGCTTGGAGTCATAACCAGCATGTCGACGATCCTCCGAAACTGCATGTAGACTGGGCATTTCTATAGTCGAACCATATCTTCTTCTGCTTCTTCTTCTTGTCTGCCTCTCGCCCCTCTCCTCTCCCGAGTTCCTGCGCCGAGCACCCACACGAAAAGCCCCAAGAACCTCTTGAGTCTTGAGGTGAGGGGTTTCGAGCTTCTGCTTTCTGGCACGCAGATGCTTCCCACTGCAAAGGGGGAGCAGGTTACATCAATGAGTTTCTGTCTGTGCCCAAGCTTCCCAAGGATCACTAGCACCGCGTCGAAAAGGTTCGCAAAGTCCCGATGCCTCGTCTGGATGAGCCATCAAAAAAGCAAGCGCACGGACGTTTTGTTGCTAGGGACTTTTTGCGTTCCGCTATGCCGATCAATCTGTGCCATACCATGCCATACCGTAATTGCAGCAGGTTTAAGAACTACGGCATTGTATCGACGAACGGGGGCCTGGAGTGGCTGGGCTTGCAACCTTTATGTCAGCGAGGGTTAATACTTCCAGAAGCCCTTTCTCTTGAAGTGCAGGATCCGCACTTATGACCTGCAACAGGCCATGTAGGGTTTGGGGTTTAGCGTGTAAGGTGTGGGGTTTCGGGGTTTCTGGCCTACCCAACCATGATCAACCATGCCACTATACAGCGCACACGACTCGATACCTCAAGCCCGCCGCTGCAATCGGGACCACTTTGAAACGTGCTTTCCAATCGTGATCTCACACGCCGAAAGCATGTCCAACTACCGAATGACACTCTACTTGAACACGAAGCACATATACTTCCCGCGATGGAGCAAAATAAAGCATGAATTGGAGTGAAACAGGTGAACTGTATGGATTGGCCATTGACTGTCACAAATATACTCTGCTCAACTCAAGAGTCATTTTCCAGAATGGCAACATGTCGACTCGGATCCCGAAAAATAGCTCGGACCGTTCGCCGATCTGGCTCAATGGGTCGCAAGCCTGCATCGCCTCTGATCTCCGGGTCTGCCTGCGAACGAATCAAAAAGGCTGAGAGTCCATGGTTATCCAGCAAGGCGCAAAATCCCAAAGGGGTGCGCACGTGGCGGAAGACTCTCGCAAAAATACCAGGCTCGGGTCTGCAGTAACTGTAGGCTTGGCATATCATGTGAAGCACTCTGAAAAACCTTCGGGCTTCATGACTTGGTTGATGTCTGACATGTTCTCCACCAAGAGCTCGCGTTTCTGAGATCGCTTGTGGTGTCACCACTGAAAGCAATGTGGTGCAAAGGCGAGGAATTTGCCAGCCCTCCTCTTCCACCATGCACATCTGCTCCAAGCTCCAGAAGTCGGGCCATTACTTCAGGAGGACATCCCAAGCCTGCCGCCACTTGGATGGGGCTGTACTGGGTAATGCACTTTCCCTGGAAGTTCACACTCGCACGATTTTGAACCAGGAGATCCACCGCCTCCCGTGTCCTGCAAAACCCCAAGCTGGGGAAAAATTGCTTGTAGAGCTGTTTGTTTCAGCTGGCAGCTCCAGAATGTCTGCAAAACATGTAGATCTCCACGGCCAACCCCAAATGCAATGGCGTGAAATCAGCGGCATTCAATGTTTCTGCCATTTTGGGCGCATGGACAGGGAAGCCCTAGCAGCGGCCAAACGGCGAAGCAACTGTGCATCGCCCAGAAGGGCAGCGCAAGCCACTGGACCAAGGCCGGTGTACTGCCGCAATGGTCTGGAAAAACCGAACTCTGACGCAAACTCATCAAGACTGCGTGGTTTCGGAGCGAGAGCTGTCACTTGTTCAAAGAGGGAAAGGTATTTGCCAGTTTGACGCAGGTTGGCCAAATATGTCGTGAGTGCCGCTTTGATGATGAGACTGCAAGAAGCCCGGCCCTTTTCAACTGCGAAGTCCCCTGCGTGCACCTGGAATCGGTGCCATGGAGGTGCTGTGAAGCGCACTGCATCCGGACCCTTCACCTCTACGACGGGAATCTTGGATCTGGCAGAAAGGTGGCAGCATCAGAATTCAGTGCGGCACCAGCCACGTTGAAGCCAGCTGTGCATATTACATGCTGCTTGTGTATCATTCTGCAGAGCCGGTGGAACCAAAGCAAAAAAGATGTTGCAGAGCTCCACATAGCTAGGAATGCTTTCAATATACAAAAGCTGCTCTTCTCCAGTCACCGGAAACCCTCTCACCAGCTGAGGGACACAAAAGTAGTCCATCCACATGCCATGAAGCTGTGCAGTGCGCACACCATTTGCATCAGGATGGTGGATGCCTGTGGAGCTCCACGGTTCCAAGAGACCCTGAGCTTTCAGCGTCTGATGTCATCTCAAGGAATTCCTCAATGCGCAGGAACCCACATTTGGGCATGCTGTGCTCATGCCTGGCATCCACCCGACTTCCACAAGATCCCATGGCCCGTTCAAGATTGGCAAGCCCTGTTCGATTTGACGGTGCCACCCTGTAGTGACTAGTGACTAGTGACTCTTCATGACGTCGCTTTGGCCCCCCAGGTGCCCACCTTCCCCCAAGATGATCAGCCAACCGGCTGAAGCCCGGCTTGAAATGATGCTTCAGGGAAGTGCATGGGATGCAGAACGTGCAATGACTGGGTAGGCATCTGGAAGCACAAGAGACTTGGACCTAATTCCTCTGCCGCATTATTTCGCGGACAGGAGTCCTGGAATTAAGTCCAGCATTAGTGGTCGCGCCGAAACAAATTTGCCCCGGGTCTTGGTGGCTCTTTCTGGCCCACTCTTATCTCCTGGTCAATAATGTTCTGGAATGGGGAGGGCCGTTGATCGCTAAGCGACAAGCAGCCTGCGTCAGAGGGAAATTTAGAATGTCGAAGGCGTAATGCGCCTATCTAGGGCCTGCCGCTCTAGCTCTGGCGAACTAGGTAGCAGTTCGCACGTGCTGTCATGTTGTGACTGTGGGCATGTGTGGGTCGACATTAGATCCAGCCCTTGTCAGCCTCGTTCCCTTGTCATGACTGCCGCGCTGCACATTTTCACACCTTGCCGAGAACAAACATGAAAACAGCTCTTTCTAGGACAAGGAACCAACGTGGCCATTCAGTCACCACTCGAGCAAGAAGCTCCTTCCAGCGATTGGGGGACGTTGGCGGCTTGGAGTGTTATCAAGCCCCAAGTATGTATTGTATGGGTAGTCTAGTGCTTCTCAACGCTTCAAGGGCTCAAAGCATCGTTTTCACATGAACCCAGGGCCAGCGATATGCGATGCACTTCGGGTCCAGCCCCAGAACAATTCGCATGCAGACTGCTCCTTTGGAGTTCCCTTCCGTATTAGTTGGTTTTGGAAGGTCTGCATAGCATTGTTTGGCAGGATTTCCGGGTTCTTGCCCAAGCCAGTGGTTGCACGGCTCGGTCCAGCCCAAAGACGACCAAAAAGACAACGTCCACAGCTTGGCAGATCTCCAGCCTGAAGCAGAGGGCCTACCTGCCACCCTTGCACTCGCCTCTGTTGCACGAAGGAAATCTTAAGCCTCGTGGGAGCCTCAAGTCGCCTAAAACGTGGAGTGGCAAAAGGCTGAGACAATTTTAAGCCCAGAGCAACTCCCAAACTAAAGGCTTTTTGCAGGTGTCAGCAGCCACTCTTGCAGCTGCGATGTGTCCGCCTGGGAACCATCCGCATCGCTTCTTTTCGCTGTGAATGAAGGCAGGGTGCTGAAAAGGTTGGTTCGCTTGCTCCCATACAGCTTTTGTATTTGATAATTTTGATCTGGGAACGGCATAAAGTCAGATGCCGGAAGGAAGTCGTCAAATCGACTATTCAGCGAGAGATCTCATGCAGGACGGTTTCCATCGTTCGCGTGGCTTGGGGGCCCCCGGAACTCTGCGCCTGTCATTTCTGTGCCTATCGGCTCTGAAATCTATGGGCGCAAAGGAAGCTGTGAAGCGACATGAAGAATTTGCCTCACAACTAGATGGTGTGTGTGCAGCTTTCTCAGGGAATCAACACGAATCACCACTACACGCCTTGACGCCAAAAATCCTTTGCCAAGTCTCCAAAAGTCTCCACAAGTGTCCAAAAGTCTCCAAAAATGATTCCCCAAATGCAGCGCTGGAGCCGGAG